AGGAGGAGGAAGGGGGATGAACGACTGGAGGGATCAAGGGAGCATGTGTATGATCATGTGGGGGGGCGAGCGTATATATATATATGTGAGTCTGTATATATATACTCACATATATATATATATACACATATATATAAATATATATATATATATATATGTGTGTATTCTCCTACGGGACCATGAAGCGTGTGGAGGGGTAGGCCGAAATCGGTTGCGCGGACGCAGGTGGGCTGCGCCGCCAAAGCCTTCGCTGGAGCCCCCCACTGGGCCGAAACGTGTGAGATGTGTGCCGAAATTTGTGGCGCGGACGCATGCGGGCTGCGCCGTGGGAGTTTCGGTGGAGGTCATGATGGGGCCACGAGACGTGTGAGGGGTGTGCCGAGCGGGCGCATGCGGGCTGCGCCGCTGAAGTCTTCGGTGGAGTTCCCTATGAGGCCCCGAATCGTGTAAAGGGTGAGCCGGAATTGGTAGCGCCGATGCATGCGGGCTGCGCCGTGGGACGGTCGGTGGAGCTCCTCATAGGGCCACGGGACGTGCCAGCGGTGTGCCGGAATTTGTGGCGCGGACGCATGCGGGCTGCGCCGCTGGGGCCGTCACTGGAGCGTCATATGGGGCCACGAGACGTGTGAGGAGTGTGCTGGAATGGGTGGCGCGGACGCATGCGGGCTGCGCCGCTAGGACCCTCGGTGGAATTCCCTATGGGGCCACGGACGGTCTGATGGGTGTGCCGGAATGGGTGGCGCGGGCGCATGCCGGCTGCGCCGTTGAAGTTTGCGGTGGGGTTCCCTATAGGACCGCGAAACGTGTGAGGAGTGTGCCTACATGTGTGGCGCGAGCGCATGCGGGCTGCGCCGCGCTGGGACCGTCACTGGAGTTCCCTATGGGGCCACGAAGCCCGTACGAGGTCACGAAACATGTGATGGGTGCGCCGAAGCACAAACATGCGGAATGCAGAAGCAGGGATGGAAAGAGGAGGGCGAGGAAGAGAGGACGAGAACGCGGAGCGTTGCGTCGTCAAGACGAAGACACAACAGTACAGGACGGTTGGGAAGCAAGAAGCGAACATCAAGGATATAATGGATAAGAGGTTGAGAAAAAGACAGTGCAACATATATCGATTACGACGACGCCGTGGGCACCTTCATCAACGGACAGCGTGACTGCGCAAACACCGTGCGAGTGGGGTAAACACTCACTGATTGCGAAAGACTTGGTTACACAATCGTGTCATGCGGCAATGTCTGCCTCTTCTCGTCGCTAGACATGCCAGTAGAATGCTCGATTTTAGACGCCTCGCATACCTCCACCAGCCCCGCCGGCGCTTTCACTTGCGGCTGCGACCACAAATCTCCACCAGCCCATCCAGAAACGACGCCCAGGAGAGCTGACGGAAAAAATGAAGAAGAGACTCACATAGTGAACCGGAACGGGCATCAACGGTGAATTGGGAGATCTTTTGCGGCGAAGGTTGCAAGTGTTATTGCTAGTGCTCTTGCTTCCGCAAGTGCTGCTGCTGCCGTCGCTGTCGCTGGTGCTGCTGCTGTCGTTGCTGATGGTGCTGGTTCTCGGATGATGGGTAAACGGATAAGGGGCGCAGCGCCTCTCGCGCGCCCCCCGCCGGCCGCGCTGGCGCGCGCCCGAAGGACTACGCCGAGGCGCCCTCGCGCCGCGATGGCGGAGAGGGCAAGGTGGAAGAAAGCGTGGAGGCAGGGCGAGTCAAGGAAGATCCGCAGGCGAAGCCAGTGACGGGGAAGGCGTAGACGTCCTCCTTCGTGCGACCCAAAAACCAGACAAGTCGCTCATCGAGGTGACGAGCATGAAGGAAACATCAACAAGTCAGACACGTGTGAAATGTTGCCACTCGTCGAGCGGATGGAAGGTCATGTCGGCGCCTCCCTCCAGCGGGAGGTCCCAGGCAACGAGCGCCCCAGACCTACTCGTGGCTGCACGTCCCGACCACATAGCCGACCCTGTGCGCGGTACCGCACGAGCCGACGAGGGCGGCCACGGCGTCTCTGACCTGGCACGTCTGCTTTCAGATCATCGCTGACTTGGACCCCCATGTCTTCGCGGAGTACCCGGCACGCGCCGTCTCTGCGGTCAGACTCGCCATGGGCTGCCTGGGCCGTCTCCGGTTCGTTGTTTTGTCGTGGGCTGTCAGCGGCTCCAGCGATGGGCCCAGAAGCACCAGTCAACGAGCCAGCAGCGGTAGCTCCTAAGGCCAACCCGCGGCATGCAGCCTCAGATAGAAACCAGCCCTGAAATATGTGGCGCCACGAGCTTCGCCATGGGTTCGGCTCGCGGCCATCGCCCCCGCTTGCTTCGCCATGGGCTGCGCTAGCTGGGTGCGGCTTGTCACCGCGCCCTTGACTTTCAGCGCTGGCATCGCCTCGACCAGTGACTCTGCGCAAACGGATGTGGACCTCGTCGACCTCCACACGATGGGCCTCGGAAGCCATGTCAGCCCTCACTCCGAGCGGAGGCCGCGTGCTTCCAGCAGCAGCGCCGCGAGGCCCCTGCCCCGTGACCCGAGCGCCGACGGGGGCACGGGCAGGCGGCCGCGCGGCAGGCCTGATCGGCAAGACCGCCGACCCAGGAGTGGCAGTCGGAGTGGACGCGCCCTGGAAGTCGATCGGCATGGCATTCGAAAACGGGCCCATGACGTGCCCAGACGCCGCGGGACCATTTTGAGCGAATTGTTTTGGCACGCATTTGTCCTGCTCGCCAGCCGCGGGCCCAAATGCGCCTGCGAACAAACCTGCGGCCCTGGACTCCGCACCAGCTGGCGCATCTTGGATGCTTCCGCCCTGTCGTGGCAAACCTCCACGCGCGCCGGCCGGGAGGGCGAAGAACTGGTTGTGTCACCGGGTGATTGTCGCTGGCCTTCGACTGGGCATTGCTTCGCCCCTCCTCCGACTTTGAATCAGAGAGCCCCGATGGGGGCGCAACAACCGGAGGAATGACGGCGCCGCAGTCGTCATGCCCGCCACTCTTGCCCACGTTATCCGCAGGGGGGTTCTTCGGAGGCGTGGGGAGGGGCTGCGTGTCCGCCCCTATGACGCATTCGGCGTTAGCGCCATGGACGCGAGAGCCTTCTTCCAGACCCGCGCCAGCACGACGCGACGAGGGGCCAACAGAGAAGGGCACAACACTTGCAGCCTTATCGCAAGGGACGGAAAATCGACGCTCATGGAGCGTCGATGCATCGTCGCCCACGTGTTCGACCTCTTCTGCGTCCTTGGGCCCAGGCGCCCCTTGGACGCGCCGTCGACGACGAGGCGTGGCCCCAAGAGCAAGCGGCTGGGCAGGAGATGCGGTCTATGGAGTGTCATATCTTAGACCTATTGCGCCTGCTCGAGGTTGCTGCTGCGCACCGCCACGGACGTCTCCACATTGGAGGACAGGTGCATCTGGCGGTAGCGCGCCTGGTAAGAGATCGGCTACTGGTGGAAGAATCGCTTCACGCGGAGGATCCGCACCTGCGTGCCGAAAATGCGGCCCAGCATCTCGGAGGTGCAGATCCCCGCGGTCAGCTCGCGCACCAGCTTGAAGACCCACGACTGGTGGAGGAAGGCCCAATCGCGGAAGATCCACCACTCGTGGTCAATCAGCGTCACGCGGATGCTGATCGCGAGGGGGAGGAGCTCCATGTTCACGGTCGACCTCCAGCACCTGGCGCGAGGCGCGGGCCAGACAGGAGAGCTCCTGGCCCCTATGCGCCTGCACCTCCGCGAAAACTCGCAGGAGGTGGTGGGTGGCCCGCCCCTGCGCCCGCACCTCCTGGGCGCGGCGTGCGGCGGCAGGCCGATTGGGGCGGCGGGCGCCACCCTCCTGGGCCGGCAGCCCCTCCATCCCGCGGGCGGGGAGAAGAGGGGGCCGGAGAAAGCGGGGAGGGGAGGGCGCGGGCGGGGCAGGGTGACCCCTAGCGCGTGCTCGCACGGCCCCGAAAGGCCTTGGACCGAGTTGGCGTTGGTAGACGGACAAGGGGGAGGAGGAGGAGGGGGAGGAGGAGGAGGAGGAGGACGAGGAGGAGGAGGAGGAGGAAAGGAGCATGAAAAGACAACTCAAAAGGACGCGAAGGAGGAGAAAACAGGGCGGACAGATGATCCTCTTGGGATGTCTCTTGGGGGTCGTTTTGGAAACCTCTTGGAGCGTCTGGGGGGATCTTGGGGGTTTCGGGGATCCTCGAGAAGCCTATCCGGGTCTCTTGGAGGTCTCTTGAATGCCTCTCGGAACCCCTTGGGATATCTCGTGGGCGGTTGTTTCGAAGCCTCTTGGGACGTCTCGGGGGTCTCTTGGCGGTCCTGAGGATTCTTGGGCGTCTTGAGTGCCTCGGGGAAGCCGGTTGGGGTCCTCTTGGGGGTCTTTTGGGGGTCTCGTGGGGCCATTGTGGAACCATTTTGGGGCCATCCTGGGGCCTCTTCGGGCCTCCTGGGCGCCTCTTGGGCCCGTCTGGGCTCGTTTGGGGGCCTTGTCGGGGCATTATTGGAAGCTTTAGGGGCGCTCTTGCGACCATGTTGGATGATATCGGTCAACGAAGTGGGGTTCCTTAATTTCGCCCCCCCCCCCCCAGGAGGCCAAAATGGAACCAACACCCTGGTAAAACCAATGATTGTTGTTTCCTCGCCGAGGCCGCTTTGGACGTTCCGACACCTCGAGGAACCCCCTGTCCAGGTTCATGGGGAGGGGGGAGGGGGAGGGGTAAACCCCTCCCCGAAGGGGAAGAAGGAGGGGTGGAAGAGGAGACTCTCTAAACCACCAACGCCCAGAGGGCTGGTGGGATTTCTGCGTCATGCTCCCCCGCGAAAACATCTGGCTACAACTACCGCCTCCATGATGGCTGCCTGCACCACTAAGGATATCGACAACCTTCTGCACAACAAATACTCTCCGCAGTTGCCGCCTCTCCTCCTCCTCCTCCTCCTCCTCCTGCACCTCCTCTTCCTCCTCATACTCCTGGCTCGGGCAGCTGTAAGGAGGGGGAAACGACATGCAAACGCCTGCATGCGGTGCGTCGGCGTCTGATGAACCTGCGGCACTGGTACCGTCACTGTCTGGACCTCGGAGGCCAAGCATATCGGACAAGGAAGCACCGCAATGTACAATGGTCGTTGGAATTACACTAGGAAGCCCAAACCACGATTTCGCATACGCGTCATGTCCGCCACCTCGCTTGCAACGGTTGGTGTGTTTCAGTGTCTGGCTCTGTCGTTTCGTATCTTGCGAAACATAGGTAGGACCAGTCTGCGCATCGAGCCCAGCAGGCGGTGATTCGTTTGATCAAGTCCCTGCGATGTTCGCGGTTTCACGAGGCAGCGCAACTAGATAACGGCGGCCTGCTGGTGATGGGACGAGCATCCCCCTTCTACAGCTGATATGTAGACCACACTCATCATGCTCTATCTTCTCTAGACTTCACTCTTCACTCAAACCTCTCCACTCTGCTCCCTACTCTATAACTGTATGCGCTCTACTACCTGAAACATTCCTTAACTTGCAGGCGCAAGGCTATATACCCTCTACTCCGGAATCTCCAACCTCCCTGATCTACTCAACGAGTCGCTACGCAAAATGAAATACCCCCGTGCCCCCTCAGGTTATCTGCATGATAAATAACCTAAAGGGCCCGCATCCTGGGAACATTCGGCTTCCTGGGCCCCCATCAGCAGACCACAACCCTGCTCAACCACCTCAAACTATTGGCAATCAGTTTCTCCGCTTGCATGGCACACGTTCGCAAAGCGGCCTGGTGTTCTGCGTCCAATCTTACTGGGTTTTCCTGGGCCCTCATTATCAAAACGGCGCTCTGCTAACTCGTGCAAAGGACACGGAGGAATCGAAGACGTATGGCTGAATGCAAATTGTAAGAGTGTCGCTCTGCGAATGGGTACCTGGGAAGTCCAGGTATATTCCATGCCCCCACCTCTCTGACGTGGGCTAACAATAAACAGCTACTGCGTGTATACTTTCCAAACAGAGCTGGCACTCATGGCTTAGCTTTTGTTTTCGAAGGACCCAAGCCTGCGGGCCGATCTGGCGGCTCCGTGCTCGCCGTCGCCGCCCCGTCGCCGCCTTGTAGCCGCCTGTCGTCTGGGCCTGCGGGCCGGTCAAGCGGTTCCGTGCTCGACGTCGCCGCGCCGTCGCCGCTTCGTCGTCGCCCGTCGACTGTGCCTGCGGGCTGGTATGGCGGCTCCATGCTCGCCGTCAGCGCCTCGTCGCCGCCCCGCCGCCCCGCATAGCTTGCACCGCGCAATTTGCACAACATAGATTGCACCACGCAGATATTGCACCGCTCTTATTGCAGCACATGGAATGCAAACGCTGACTGCACAACGTATACCGCACCACATAGATTGCACCACGCAGATTGCACAACATAGTTCGCACAACATAAGTTGCACCACATAGCTATCACCACATATATTGCACCACCTAGATTTCACAGCATCTACTGGTCACCCGAGGTTACCCCACCTATATTGCACCACATAGACTGCAGAACATAGATCGCACGATACAAAATTTTACCTTTGTTGCACACCATTAATGACACAACATTGATCGCAGCACATGGGTCCAAGCACATGTATTGCACATCATCAATTGCCCAGCATATGTTGCATAACGTACGCAACTACAAATATCATACTAGACCGCACTGACTTCGGTCCACGCTGGCTGATATATACGAATACAGAATGGCGACTCCTCCTGTGTTCTGTCACTTCTCGTTTGTTCTGCCGGGGGCAACCCCAACAACAACACTGTCAATGTCGCCTTCAAGCGTGGCGCACTTACACCCAGGACTCCGTACATCAGGGCATAACGGAGCAAGGGATTCCGAGGATGTCTCAGGCAAAACGGGCCTGAGCACATCGCGGACCACGTCTGGGAACCCAGAATTCTGAGAACGTCTCAAGCGAAACGGGCCAGAGCACATCAATTCAATGCATCTCGCAGTAGCCCGAGATTCGGAGGATGTCTCAGGCGAAGCGGGCCCGAAAACCTCGCGAACCACATCTTGGACCCATGGATGTCTCAGGCGAAACAGGCCAGAACACCTTGCGAACCGCATCTTAAAACCCAGAGGTGTAAGTTGCGAGGATGTCTCAAGCCCAGCGGGCCAGAGAACCTCAAGTCAAGGAACCTCGGAGTCCGGGGTTCCGAGGATGTCTCAAGTAAAACGGGCCTGGCCTCGCGAACTGCATCCTCATCCAAGAATTGCGAGGACGTCTCAGGCCAAACGGTCAGAGCCAGGAATTCCAAGGATGTCTCAGGCGAAACGTGCTTGAGCACCTCGCGAACCACATCTTGGAACCCAGAGTGGTGAAGACGTTTCAAGCGAAACGGGCCAGAGCACATCAATTCAAGGCATCTCGAAGCCTGGAGGATGTTTCGGGCGAACAACGTAATGAAGATGTCTCAGGTGAAACGGGATTGAGCATCTCAGGTCAGGGCATCTCGGAACCAAGGGTTCCGAGGATGTCTCAAGCGAAACGGGCCTGAACAGCTCGTGAACCGCATCCTCAACCCAGAAATGCGACGTCTCAGGCCAAAGGGTCAGGGCCAGGGATTCTGAGGATGCCTCAGGCGAAACGTGCCTGAGTACCTCGCGAACCACATCTTGGAACCCAGAATTGTGAGAACGTCTCAAGCGAAACGGGCCAAGGCACCTCAACTTGGTGCTTGTCGAAGTTTGCGGTTCCGAGGATGTCTGAGGCAGAACGGGCCTGATTTCCTTGCGAACCAAATCTTGGAATCCGGAATTGTAAGGACGCCTCAAGCGAAACGAGCCAGAGCACATCAAGTCAAGGCATCTCGATTCCCGAGGTCCCGAGGATGTCTCTGTGGGCCTTGGGACGCACCCAGCTCTTTTGAGGGCAGCCCCCACCTCCCCGTCACCGCCGTTGGGGTTGCCAGGGTCGCCTGGAGCTGTCCCAGGCGCCCTGGGAGACCGGGCTCAGGTGCACTGCCCACCCCCGCCAGCCAAGGCAAGCCCTGGATGGGGGCCAACAGAAAGCAGAAAACCCAAAAAAGCCATCCGAAGTGGCCAGCGAGGACCATACGGCTCGGAAACACACTTCCACCCCGTAAAACAAATAGACCGTTCGAGCCATCCCCACAATCTGGACGCGAACGGGCCCGTGACACACCCTTCGTCGGCAGAGCACCAGCCCGCATCACCAGGCAGAATCGACCCGCGTCCAGCCCTGGCGGCGAGAAGTGTCAGAGCGTTGACAGTAATCCTTCCCCTCGTCCTGAGTCATCCTGCTACTCCTCCTCCTCCCGCTCCTCATTCGCTTCGCACTCCTCAACGGTTGCTCGGAATTGCGGGGGCGTCTCATGCGAAACTGGCTGGGCACCCTCGCACGCCGCATCTCTTTGCCAAAAATTGCGGGGACTCCTCAGGCCAAACAGAACCGGCTCACCTCGTGGGCGGCATCTTCAAATCTAGCGTAGCGATGATGACTCAAGCGAAACGGACGAGGCAAGAGCCAGACCACCTCTCGCGTGGCGTCTGGGCGCCCGGAACTGAGAGGATGTGTCAAGCAAAACGGGTCGGACCACCTGAGCATCTGGGCGTCTCAAAATGCAGACTGGGCGTCTCAAAATGCAGACTTGAAATCTGGGCGTCTCAAATCTGGGCGGCACATCTGGGCGTCTCAAAATGCAGACTTGAATGTCTCATGCGAAACGGGCCGAACCGCCTGAGCATGTTGCCAATATCTCCACGCGCGGGCCCCTCGGGCGGCATTCGTCCTCACCCCAACAATTCCCCTCGGCACCAGCCAGGCGACCCGGGAACACTCCCAGACAAAACCTATTGAACGGAAGCCAACGAGAAATTCCCATATGCATGCGCACAAGAATAGGACATATATGTAATCTACAAGCAAATTCAAATAATCGGCTTCACCCCGCCGAGGGCAACTGAAAGGCAACCCAATATGTGTCGTTCGTGATCTCCCGTGTGAGAGGGGAAGAGAGAAGCTCGATATCAGCATACTAAGATCCCGACTGCAAGGCGGTGTTGGCAGTCTGCCGCCGGAGTCATGATGCAAACTGGCTGCTGCAGCTGCTCCTGAAGAGGGCGTCTAGATTCTTTAACATTCGCCATTCCCCCTCCAATGGTAAGGAAGGAGCAGTACGGAATGCACAGCACTCCGACAGTAGGACCCCTTATAGCACCATTTCAAATTCATCAATAAAAAAGTATCATCGTTGTCCGTGTGACTGCCAACACATGATTCCTGTCACCTCAACGCCTTGGCTCCTTGTCGCCCTGGCGGAGGTCCTCCTTCCGCCCCCTACTCTGCCTTCTCCTCGTCCTCCTGCCTCTCCTCCCCACCCCCCTCGTCCCCCGTCCCTCTTTCAAGGACTCCCGCATGAGACTTCCGCAGGATTCACTCACAGACGAGGCTCCCACTCGAGAGATCCTGAATATCCAAGCCTCAGGAGCCCAAACATGACGACCGGTACAAGTGTTCCGATGGCCGCCTCGATTACTAACGTGAAGTGCGGGCCTCGCAGGGAGGGCTCCCGCCTGAGACTTCCTCGCGTCTCACTCACACGCGAGGCTCCGAATGTTCGAGCCTCAGGAGCCAAAAAACGTAACGACAGTCACATGTTGTCCGAGGGCCGCCTCGGACAAGTAACATGTAATGCGGGCCCCTTTGGGAGGGGTACCGCTCGATACTTCCCCAATTTTCAAACATCAGGAGCCCAACTGTGACAACAGGTACAGGTTTTACGATGGCCGCCTGGGATTACTGAGATGAAGTGCTGGCCCCGTAGGGAAGGGGGTTTCCGCTCGAGACTTCCTTGCGTCGCACTCACAGACGAGGTTCCCGCGCGAGACCTCCTCAACTACAGGTTTCCCAAAAGCGCCTCGGATTACTAATATATGAAGCGCGGGCTCCATAATGAGGGGTCTCCCGCTCGAAACATCCTCGAGTCTCACTCACAAACGAAACTGCCGATCGAAACCTCCTCAATACTCGGACAGCTGCCGGTTTTCCAATGGCCGCCTCGGATTACCAATATGAAATGCGGGCCCCACCGCTCGAGACTTCCTCGGGTCTCACTCACAGACGCGGCTCCCGCTCAAGACTTCCCCAATACTCACACAGCTACTGGTTTTCCGATGGCCGCCTCGATTGCTAACATGAAGTGCGGACCTCATACTGAAGGGGTTCCCGCTCGAGACTTCTTTGCCTTTCACTCACAGGCGGGGCTCCCGCGCGATTCTTCCTCAACATTCAGCCCCCTTCGGGTACTGAATTGCTATGCTTGCTACAGGTTTCCAATGACGGCCTGCGATTACAAACATGCAGAAGGGGGCCTCATAGGGAAGATGCTCCCGCTCGACTCGATACTTCCACACACGTTCACTTACAGACGAGTCGCCTGATCGAAAAGTCCTGCGTATCCTATATAGTAAAGCGCAGAAAATACATCATAACTCGCTCCAGACTGATGATGATGACCGTGATGGCAAATGTCCTTGATGGTGCTGGTAATGACATACAGCTGATGGCGATGTTGACGGTGTGGGCGAAAATGATGATGACGATGTGGAGAGACGTCCTCATTATGAGTGGGTAATGCGTGGGTGTGGTGGTGCCGACGAGGCTGATATTGTTGATGATGGTAGATGCTGATAGTCATGTTCATGGTGTGATGGTGGGCTAAGTGCGATGATGACCATGGCGTGATGACAGTGATGATGGTTAGGAACGGCATGGTAATGATGAGGATGATACTAGAAATGATGGCGATGATGCGGATGATGACGGTATTGGTGGTGGTGACGATGGCAGTGATTGTGCGGGTGTCCTGGTTCCTGTGAGGGGTGCCCAGAGGAAGCAACACTCCAACTTAGGATGTGTGGGCCAAGCATGAATAGGCACTTGAGGGAAGCTGGAAGGAAGAATATACTGTACTCGGGAACTGCGTGCAGCATGGCCGCTCCTAGATCAGGGGGGAGATCTGTTCCAGCGGAGTGTCCCAATGCTGAGACAATGGAGAAAACCAAAAATCTTGGTCGATTCCTGCCCTCGCACTGTTGGGAAACACGCGTGGGGCATCCCGCCCACTTCCCAGTCGCAGTATTCGCGTTCGTCGTTCAAAACATGGACTGTCATGGCACTGCCGACTGGTAGGTTGAATGCACACGTCAATAGGTTGTTTGACATCGATAATGATTGCGACCCCTTCTATCATCATATGACTCGCCCGAACATGGCGACCTCATGCCAAAACAAATTGCCCACCCATTGGCTCGCCGGGCTGGATCGGATAGGAGCATCCGCCAAGGTCTGCCGACGTGTTCCTGCACGGTCGGCGCCGCTCCTGTCTCCGAAGGGCCAATATGGAACAACTGGACCACAAGGAAGGAACCGTGTTCAAAGTCGGGGAGCTCCCTCGAGGGTTGCAACCCAAGTGCTCGCGCAGCAGCAAAGCACACCCAGAATGACCGCGCTAAGAGACGTCCTAAACTGGAAGCGCTCGGGGACTTCTGGAATACACTGCCTGAGCCCCGCACTTCCGAGCTTTCACAGCGGTCGAACCGGACCCCACGATCTCACAACTGGGACCCCCCCCTTGTGCTTGTCCACGCTCAGAATAAGGAGACCTCTCATTCCGTTAGCACTATCGATGCTACCTTGGCGGCGATATTGCACATATATATATATATATATATATATATATATATATATATATATTATTTTACTCTCCCAGTGTAGCGCGGAGAGTATCAAGTTATGCTGGAATATGGCTGACCAAGGGTCAGACACGGGCGCGCCCAACGACGCTGCCGTCAGCACGACGGGCGGGCCCTTTGGCCGGTGCGTGCGACAGGCCTTGACGCTGAGCCTCGCGGCGCTGCACCTTGTCAAGGTCGTCAAGCTCAGCGACCTGCTTCTCAGGTAGCGGAGGGTAGTGGGCTGGGGAAGCACGAACGGCTTCCCAGCACGCCGGCCGGCGGGAGTCGCAAAGGTGCGACAACAACCGCAGGCGTGAACCGAACGCGGTGTGGCACACCGGGCAGGTCGCATCAGCGCTGGCGTAGCTTCTCTGTAAGCACCGGACATGATCTCGAATTCTGAGATGCTGGTCACGCGCCTTCGCTGTCGCGAAGCGCGCGTCGCACTGGTGGCAAGCAAATGGGCGGGTGCCGCCTCCGACTGGAGCGGCGCCGCCACGGTCACAGCAAGAGTCGGTGAAAAACAACATGCTCACGGCATTTGCCCAGCGCGCTGGGGAGTCGCCGATGAACGTCACCCAAGCGCTCGCAGTACCCTCCGGCGGCGGCAGCGTGCTGCACAGGGCAACGAGCTCGCGGAGCTTGCCCAGGTCGGAGACAAGCAGAGTGACCCAGGGCAGGCGCGCTCCGCCAGGCCGCGCGGCGAGCAAGGCCAGCAGCGTGGGCGGTGAACTACGCACCAGGCGCCCTAAGTAGCGGAGACGAGCACGCATCGCCAGGCAGTCCAAGCTGGGCTGCTTGACGTATCTCGAGGTCCGTTTCGGAGTGGCCGAACCGCGGGGCGTCGCCGACTCGTCGGAGCACCCGCATGTACATGCCGTTGAGCACCTGCAGATATCGCCTCGTAGGGACGACCACGTGCACGTTGAAGAGGAGGCGGCTGAGGACCAACGAGTGCATGAGCCAGACCTTCAAGCTGGCGTCCACGACCGCCGAGCCGAAAACCTTGCTCGCTAGAGGCCCATAGCTCATGGCCGCCTGCTGTCTCAAGTGGTTGGCGCCTGGGGCCGCGGCGCCAGTGGCGCTCACCACGCCGCCAAGGTGCTTATAGGTGGTGACCGCCAGCAGTAGTGCCCCAGGCCGGGGTACAGCGACTGCAAGACCTCCGTCGGGAAGCACCCGGCGCCGCTGTAGCCGGGCGGTGGCCCCGTGGCCTCGGTGCGTGAGGAAGCACTCGGACTTGCCCACTTTCCAATTGATGGTCAGGTTCAGGCGGTCGTAGATGTCACACACCGCGTGCAGCACGACGTCGATGGCAGCGTCCAGCTCCTTGGGCAGACGCGCCGTGAGCATGAAGCACTCGTCGTCGACGAACGCGGCGTCCACGAGAGAGACGACCTCTAGGTCGGCGTTCGGCCCAGCGGGATCAGCATCCCAGAAAGCCGGATATATATATATATATATATATATAGATATACATATATATATATATATATCTATATATGTCCCACCCGTTTCTTCACCAGAGATGGTTCGATCTATATGGAGAACGGCGGGCTGGCCGGCGGGCTCCACCATGAAGCACGCGCTTGAAGTGACCAGCAGATCATTAACATAATCCTTGCATACAGGAGGAGGGGAGGGAGGAGGAGAGCTTGATATGAATGCCAACAGACAGTGGCATTGACGGCAAACGGGATGGCAGGACACGGAAGTTTGAAAACGCCGCCATGTCCCACCCGTTTCTTCACCAGAGATGGTTCGATCTATATGGAGAACGGCGGGCTGGCCGGCGGGCTCCACCATGAAGCACGTGCTTGAAGTGACCGAAGACCCAAACCTGGCCTCCGGCCGGCACATGTCAATTACACACACGGGACAAGTTCTCGAGATGAATCCGATCCGCAGCACGCGACAGCCATCGGGCCATCGCACGGGCCGCGGAGGGCGGGTACGGCTCGGCAATGGAAGTCCAGCGCCGCCCGCAAGGGGCTTTACCCTCGAGGGAAATGTGAGGACGGCCAGAGAATGAGCACCTGACCCCGACGCTATGGCACCGGCGGGTCAGCGCCTCAGGGGCTGCGCCGCAGTGCCACGACGCCAGGCGGGTGTTTTTTCTCCACCGCGTCCCGTGAGCGCAAAAGTCAAAGACGGTAGTATTGCAAGACGGCAAGGTGAGCAAGTGAGAAAGTAGGGGCTCTTGCCACATCAGACTGGACATAGGGTTCTCGAGTGCAACAGGCATTCCTCTCTTGAGGCAGGCGGTGACTATCAGTAGGGAGTGCTTCAACAAAACATTTCCGAGTTGGGCACGGGCAAAACCTTTGGGATCGAGATCTGGGTGCCCGTAAATATGAAGAGGCGATCTGTATCTACCACGGCTGGCCACTGACCAGGTGCTGCAGGGTGGCGCGATCCATATGCCGCGCACAGCACCACATCCGATCCAACCCATGAGGATACGAACGAGACGGATGTCAGACAAATCAAGCCAAGGATCAGACCTAATATCGATAGAGACGACACCATATTCAGTACACGATCAAATTTTGCTAGCGACACTGCCGTCACCGGCGAAAAGATCTAGAAACACCTGAACACGATTGCGGCCTCTACGGGCTACATCAAACAACTTCTGCATGCGCTTGCGGAGGGATGAGAGGGGCAAAGAATCAGTGGGCTGATATGTGTCACCTGCTGGCCTCTTGCTCACCACGGCGTGTCGGGGCGCCGCGGGCGGGGCGGCAGGCGGCTTCGGCCTTGGAGCGTCAAAGCCCACTGGTCCGCCACCGCGGCGCCGAAGGCTTTGACCGACTCTGGCGCCAGCTCCAGCTCCGCGGTGTACCGAGCGGCTCGGCTGCACCGCTGGGTGCTGGTCGCGCTGGCGTGCCGAAGACGGGCTTGCACAGCCTCGAGGCTCCGCGTCCCGCTGGCGATGTCCCAGCTCGCCGAACCGCGTCGCACCCGATATGGGTGCGGGTCCTTCAGGTTGATCATCTCCGCGTACTTCTTGAAGAGCTGGCCGAAGCGCCTGGCGTCGAGGTCCCACAAGGGTGCCTGGGCTGGGCGCTCCCGTAGGCGCGCCAGGGCAGGGCCGAGGGCCTTGGAGCCTGCCGGCGTGAGCTGGACCCCCTCGTCGAACTGCTTCCCTTTGCTGCGCAGGCCGGTCTCCTCTGGGTACAGCAGCAGGCTCCGCGCGTAGATCTCCATGCGGGGCTGCGGCGGCACGAGGGACGGACTTCGCAACTGCATCAGGTCGCTGGGCAGGCGGAGGGCGGTGTCCCACGCCAAGCTGAGGGCCTCTGCGAACCCCGACTCGCCGTCCAGCATCGCCAACCCTATCAGGCAGAAGACCGCCTCGCGGACCAGCGGCTGGCGTGCGCGGGCCGGGCCGACCAGGCGGAAGCCCTTCAGGGCGGCCCTGCTGGCCGCCAGCTCGGCCCCGCCCACCGCCGCGGGGCGGAAGTGCCGGACGGCCGCGATCGTCTTCGACGCGACGTCCGACGGCATCCCGTCGAAGTAGAGCACGCCCATGTACTCGCTGATGGCCTTGTCGATCTCGCTGGCGGTCTGAACTGGCACGGCGTGCGTCTGGCACCAGTTGTCGAAGTTCCGGTACGAGGTCACGAAGTGCACGTTGGACGAGGCCCTGATCTTGCGCGCCTGCAGGTACGTGAGCGCTGTCCCGGTCGGCTGCGCCAAGGTAGTGGCGCGTGCCGTCCTGGTCCGCTCGGCCGCCAACCTCGCCCTCCTCGCTGTAGCTCGCTCCGCTGGGGCTGGAGTCGCTCGAGCTGGCCGTGGGCTCCGACTCCGAGTCGCTGTCCGAGGAGTCGTTCGGCTGCACGCCGATGCCCCCCCGGTGGAGCCCGAAGCCCCGGGCCAGTGCCGCGGGCGCCGCGGCGTCGCCGAGGCCGGCAAGGCCTGGGTCGCGCCGCCGCGGGCGCGCTTCCGCGGCGAGCTCCTCCGCAGCGGCTCGCCATAGCGAGCCATCGTCGGGCTCTGGTGCAGGGCGGCCTCCGAAAGAGCGGAGGTCGAGGCGGGCGTCCTGAGCCCTGGCTGCTGGGAGTCTCGACGGGGCGTCTGCTGGATTCAACTCTGAAGGGATCCACCGCGCTGTGATATCGATGTTGGCGAAGATGTAGATCGCAGCAAGCCGACGAAGCACGAGGTTAAGCGACGGCACCGAAGATCTCCCCTTTCCCGATGCGAGCACCAGCCCCATGTTGTCGCATAGCAGCAGCAGGCGACGCCCATGGTTGGCAGTGTTGCGAACGAAATGGCGGACCCCCATGACCAGAGCCTCCCCCTCCAGGATAACGACGCGGCGGCCCTGTTGAACCGTCCATAGAAACAAACCTTCCAGTCTTCTTGAGAACCCAATATACTCTTACCGATCTCGAAAAACTTCTGCTCCTCCTCCCAAGTGATGACGTAGCGATGTGGCGGCGGCGTCGATGATGAAGGCTCGTTGGCATACTCTCCCATCCCAGATGGCGGTACGCGGTGATACTTCACAGGAGGAGGATGATTCTGCGCAGCAGCATCGTGAGGATCATCCTTGAGGCCGAGCGCTGATGCCCGAGCCCCTAGAAAGTCGAGAGTCTTGAATCTCCACTTCTCGCTGAGCTGAAGAGCGGCGGCCACGGCACAGCGAGGGACTTCGCGGCTGACCGCGCCGAAGCTACCGTGGTCGCCAGCGGCGGCCGACTCGAGCCCTGGCGGCGCCAGGTCTGGGTCGATACTGCGGACCTGCCGGGCGCCGCCAGAGGCATCGGTAGCCAGGGCAGCGGCGGCGACAGGCCGACGCAAATCTACAAAGGCCATCGCCGCCAGTGCCGCGCCCAGCCTGAGCTCGTGGCGTACAGTAGCCCAAGGCCGCCACGCCATGTCCCCGGCCTTCTCCGCGAAGGAGTAGCAGGCGGCGAAGACGGACAGCAGTGGCCTCCTCAGCATGGCTGCCCAGGTGTAGTGCCCCAGGAGCATGCGCATCTGCACGCCAGTGAGCTTGTCGGCCTCGGCGGCATGCTGGAAAGCCCGTCGGATCCTCCAGATCCGGCTGCGCGAGAGGGAGATCCGCCCGGACCCCTTCTCGAAGATGAGCCCGGTGAGCGGCTGCTCGTCCTGTGGCAGCTCCATGTCCTTTGTGACCAGGCCCACTGCGAGGAGGGACTCGGCGATCGTGCGACCAGTCCTGCACGGTCTGCGCGCTCTGCGTGCCAATCACTGCGACTCCGTCGACGTACACCGCGGCAGCGGTCTGGCCGACCAGGGATGGAGTCGCCCGCTTGTCTTCAATAATACGGGACGGCGGGTAACCAGCACGCTGCACGCACTGTGTGACCATCTCTTGGCAAAAAAAACAGTGACCAGTTCCAACCCATGGGCAGAACGATGAGCAAGGGAGAACATGTCAGGTCCCCGCCGATGGCGATGTCTGGCCGAAGTCGGCGAAGGGCACCGCAGTCCAGCGGGGGTAAGACGAAAACTTCCTCCATCCCGGGAGGTGCACGCATGCGGTAGAAGCAAGCCTCCGCGTCAACTTGCGAGAGGCACAGCTCGTCATTCGGCTCCAAGAGTAACCCCTTCCAGCAGCCAGCCGTAGGCAGCGCCGTGTGCGCAGGAGGCTCGAAGAGCTGGTTGACCCGACGCGTGTCAAAGATGAGCCGCAACTTCCCATCAGACATGGGGACGAAAAAAATACCGAGAGTAGATTCACGTAATGAGCCGAACTTCACCAGCCCGGCATCGTACAAGTCAGCCACGAAGGAGGCGTAGCTGGACTTGCTCTGCATCAGCTTCGCGTCGCAATGAGGCTTCACGGCGGAGATATCTGGGCTCTTCCGCAACAACCGCTCCTGCCAATCCTCCCAAAGGTCGAGCGCCTCGCCCTGCAGGATGCTGGCGCCGTCGCACGTGGCGCCGGGCGAGGGCAGCGCGACGAGGTCGCGCTGGAAGGCGGCTGGCTTCACCGGCATCGATGTGTAGCCGGGCTTGCTGGCGCACAGCTCCTTGAAGGCTGCCGCGCCGGTGATAGTAGGAGCCCCGATACTTTGAACAGCAGCTCGCACATGGTCAGAACCAAAACTTTGCCCTAGAGTGGGCGGGCATCCAGGATCAGCGCCCCCTCGCCCGTGGAGGCAGTTCAGCGCCTGATGCACCTCCATGCCCCACCCGTCGACATGCCGGTGGCGGAGTAGACGAGACCGCACCGTGCGACAGCACGAGCTGGCATGCCCGCTGCTGCCGAGGGGCGCCTGCGGGAGCGGCACTGGAAGCAGCTCCCGAGGCGCGGGCATGGCGCTGTCACTTGGCGCCGCGGCCGCCGGCATCGCGGCCGCCGGCGGGGTCTCCCTTGCCCCCTCGCTGCTGAAGCCGGCGAAGCTCCGCAGCCTGACTCTCGACCTTCTTGCGAAGGCTCTCCTTCGTGTCGCCGTCGGCGCCAGTGCCCTTCGCGAGCTGGCGCTCCTCCCTCAACTTCCTCTTCTCCTTCATCACCTGGCTCTCCCGGTGCAGCTCCGTCGAGATGTGCTCCACCAGGAAAGGGGCCATCATGATGAGGCCCCTCGTCTCCCCCGCGCCCATGTAGAGATGCTCGTCCTCCGCCGTCTCATCGGCCCGGCGGGGCGCTAGGCGGTCGCGGTAGCGCCACTCCGCCATCTGCGCCCGCCGGGCCAAGAGCTCGAAGCTCACGAGCTCTCCAACGTTCACCTGATCGTACACGAGACCGAACTCGATGGCCCGCATGGCAACTTCATGATCAGCCACCCCCGGGTCCGACTGTGCGAGCCCCGTCTCGTGCAACCACTTGGTGTGGCGGGCCCGGGGGCGGCTGTCCTGCTCCGCGATGAAGCGAACGGACGCACCAGGCCGCCGTACGCGGCCCCAGGAGCGGCCACCCCGGCCACGGGCTCTCCGTGACCTCCTGCACGGCATCCCTGAACAGCTTCTTGCGGATCCCGCTGCTGTCCTTCGCCATCGCCAGCAGGCGGTCGTCGCGGATCACCTGCACGACGCCATCCTTCGGGTCGAGGGCCCTGAGGGTGTACACGCCGGTGCCGACCACAGCGATGGCCATGTCATCCGAGCGCGCGAACTCGTCCACCGTGGAGTGGGGGAAGAGGCCGTCGATCTCGGACTTGTTGGGCCCAGCCGTGACGTACCAGCGCAGTGGCTTCACGTCCGGGAGCCGTTCACTCCCAGTCACTATATTCACCAAATCCGTAGGTGTCTGCGCTGCTGCCCCCGTCGGAAGAAGCGGACCCTTCTTGGACATCCTGCGCTCGGGCTGGAGCTGTGGGGCCACCGCCTCCATCGCGTCCACCAACTCGAGCGCGGTGGGCACCCACTCGGAGCCGTACACCGGTCTCCCGCCCCGGCGGAGCCCAGACCTCAACAGCACGCTCCCGTCGTTGTCCAGAAGCTCGTAGCCGCGCAGGTCCGGGGCGTCCACCAGCACTGGGTAGACGTCGAGGTCCGGGCTCAGAAGGTACCAGATCTTGCCGTCTGACTCCTGCTGAGCGCTCGCCTCTATCTCCATGATATCGCTGAGATCCTTCCGTGTGGCTGGACCAACGACGATGCGGGCCTGCCAGGTCCCGCCCCCTCCCCACTGTAGGTTGAGGCGGCGCCCGACTCGTAGAGCACTGCTGGACATAGCAGCACGTACACAGCACACCCACCAAGAAGCCGAAGGTCGCGACCAGCACCAGTGCAGCAGGAGCCCACTGTGCGCCCAACTCCAGCACTGCGCAGTCCGTCACTTGCTGCGCGAGGCTGCTGAGCCCCCCTGCAGCTCCGATGAATCCGCTGAAGTTCGACCCGACTATGGCTCCGAGCGAAGTGACTAGGCCCCTCAGTCGGGAGTACATGTGCCGGCCGTCGAAAAAAGAGCTTGAGATGAATGCCAACAGACAGTGGCATTGACGGCAAACGGGATGGCAGGAAACGGAAGTTTGAAAACGCCGCCATATATATCCGCCGAGCCCCACTTGCAGGTTTGAAGAGGCGTGTGAGGCATGTGGCTGTACCCCTGCCCCTTTCCCCCTCTCCAAGGGTCCAACATCGCACTAGAGGAGGGGGGCCCAGTCGGGGGGGTGCACTGTGAACCCATCAACTACTCACCCCCAGGGCATCATGAGACTCCAAATCTACACCCCGTGGCCTGCAAGATGTCCAAGATGGCCTCGAAGCTGGCTCACGCTGGGCTCCTACATGAAGCGAAGTCCTCCAAGACGACCAAAATGGCCTCACATCTGCCCAGCAGGCCTCAAAGACGCGCCAAGAGGGTTCCAAGACCATTCTCTAGAGGGCCCAAGGAGCAAAATGCGTCCGCATTCTGTATGGGAGACCTATACGTTCACCAACTTCGCATATCTGTATCAGCAGCATCCAAGGCGGCTTGAGACGCCCCCAAGATCGCTCAAAACAGCCCAATGAGCCTCCAAGAGGGCCCCCAAACGGCCGACGAGCGTCCCAAGACGGCCCAAGAGGCGCCCAACATAGCCCAAGAAGGCCCCATCAGGGGCCCAAGAGAGGTAGCTAGGAGAACCCCCGAGACCGCCAGCCGGCACCCGAGAAACTCCTAAGAGGCCCGAAGAAGCCCCCAAGATGCCCCAGAAAGGCCTCATCCGTGGACGTCTTCCCTGTTCTGGGGGCCGGCGGAATGGCGTAAGCCTCTCGGATATACATTATGTGTATATGTATATGTATGAGCATACTCTGGCGACGAGCACAGGAGGATAGCAACATCAAACAAGTCATAGCAGCAGTTACAACACCATAATCGATAATCAATGTCTATATATATATATAATGATCGCGGTAAGTCCCTGGTTGAGGCTTTGTGGTTTGCTGGCTCCCTCGCCGCTGCAATCGCGCCAATTCGCCCTTGAATCGTGTGTCGATCCTCCCCTGCTTGAATTTCCACGGTTCCCTGTCCACCACGACCATGTGTCCTCTTCTGTGGCAACTCATAGGTGACTCCCATACCATCTTGCTGGCTCTGGCGAATCGATGCTGATCGACGCTAGTCGACAATTCATCGACGCCAAATCGGCGGCATCTCATCCATTAACAGGCGCTAGTCGACGCGAGTGCACTCGAAAGCCGAAATTGCGAGGATTCTCCAGGCTCCAAAGATTTGCTACCGAACGTCCTCCGCACCGACCATCCCCATCCCACTCAGACCGACCGAGGCTGGGCTCGCATCGCTCTGTGACTTCACGGCAGGGTAAGCGCCCTGCAGCGAGGCGGACTCCATTGTGGCAGAATGACCGCGTCAGGGAGCCGCCGACGCCCCACCGAACCAGCGGTGGTGTGCCCCTTGCACACCGCAGATCATGGGAGCGGCACGTATACAGACTAAACAATCTGGGACTTGTCCCCGGGGGCTTCGCTGAAACGCCACATGACAACGTATAGCGTATGATTGCCTGGCCAGCTCTCCGGGTGACATGTCTTGACACACACACACACACGCGCGCACACACGCACAAAAACACACACATACATACATGTACACATATATATATATATATGTGTATACACGTGGGTTATGTTGAGGCAGCCGTCTGCCACTAAGTGGAGAACAAGCATAGCATGGTATAGTGGGCATGCTCATGGCCCCGACCACAAACAAAGACGACGCTCCACGTAGCCGATCCAGGTGGCCCAGCCGATCGACCAAGGCCCGGGGCCCAGCCCGAGCGGCCCCAGCATGGCTCACATCCCTGCCCCAGGCCCGCCTGCTCGGGTGTTCGTCAACAGGAGGGGCAGTTCAGTAGGGAGCCTCAATCGTGCTGGCTCATGCGAACCGCCGCTAGTGGACGCTAATCGACGCTGAATCGATGCTCATCGACGCTAAATCATCGACTGCCAGGCGCTAGCGCGCGCTAATGCACTCCAAAAACATAATTACGAGGACATGCAAGGTCCCTGTGGCTTGCTACCCAAAGGGCAATAGACGCAGCAAGAAGAAGCGTGCACCTCTCGTGCACCCTCCAGGCCTGCGGTGGCAGTCTGGGGGCCCCCGAGGGCCCCTACAGGGCCAACTTCCCTGCAGTCCTCGATCCCCCCTCACGCTCACTGCCCGCCAGACCCTTGCCAGTCTGCACGTTCCGCCTTCACTTCTCCTCCCCCCCCCCCTTCGGTGCCTGGCTCGCCTGGCTCGGCCTGTATGCCCTCTTGCGGGCCGCCGCCACGGCGGGCGCACTGGGGCCGCCCAACGGAGGGGGCCGCGCGCAGGGCGCCTCTGCGGGGGGTGGCGAAACGCTCGGCCGCCACTTGCTAGAAGGGGGTCGCCTCCCAGAAAAATCACGACGGGCAATGTTTCGCTATTTTCAGCCTCTGGGGGCCAGTCAACGACCGACTCAGGATAAACAGCCTGTCCGGGGGACTGGGTCGAGACCTCTGGGCTCTCTCCTCCACGGGACCACGCTGTGCGCCGTATTATCTTAGGCCGATGGCTCGCCAACAGGTGGTTGCCCAAAGAGGAGGTTATCGCCAATCTCGAGAAGAGTTGGAATTGCCTGGCGGGCGCGATGTCTCGTTGCCGCCATGGTGCCCTCATGATGTGCATCCGCCGAAGAACTCGCCGCGTCGCCGCCTCGTGGCCACCTCCTTGCCGCCCACATTGAAGGGGCCCCAGGACACACAAATAAATACACACAAATAAAATTATCCCCCATATTTTCATATATTTTCCCATATTTTCTTGGAAATCGAGGATTAATTGTGTCTGTGTGTTTCTTTTCCGCCTTGCCGCCCACATGGGGGATCTGCCGAAACTTCGCCGAGTCGTCGCCCGGGCAACCTCGTGGCCGCCCTGTGGCCGCCCACGCGTTGGTTGGGGATCCGCCGAGGCTTCGCCGCGTCGCCGCCTCGTGGCCGCCTCGCCGCCGCCCACTTTGGAGGGCCCGCCGAAGCTCCGCCGCGTGGCCGCCCGCCATGCATGGGGGTGGGGATCCACCGAGGTTTCGCCGCGTCGCCGCCCGTGGCCGTCTCGTGGCCGCCTCGTGGCCGCTTCGCTGCCGCCCACTCGGTGGAGCCGCCGAGGTTTCGCCGCGTGGCCGCCTCGTTGCTGCCCACCGCGATGGGGCTCCGCCGAGATTTCGAGTGGCCGTCTCGCTGCCGCCCGCCGCGTTTGGGGCATCCGCCGAGGACTCGCCACGTTGCCGCCCGCAGCTGCCTCGTTGCCGCCCACCGCGCGCTGTTTGCACTCAGGGGTTCTTACTCCCCAAACATGCTTTGCGCTTAAGGGTCGTCGCTTCCGCCACTAAATAATTGGGTGGGTCCGTCGAGGATTCGTCAAGTTGACGCCCGTGGCCGACCTCGTGGCCATCTCATTGCCGTTTTGGGGGGTCCGCCGAAGATTCGCCACGTTGCCGCTCGTGGTCGCCTCATTTGGGAGTCCTTTGAGGATTCGCCACGTTGACGCCCGTGGCCCACCCCACTGCCGCTTGGGGGGTCCGCCGAGGGATCGCCCTGTTGCCGCCCGTTGCCACCCGTTGCTGCTTCCTTGCCGCTTGGGGGGTCCGCCAAAGACTCGCCACGTTGCCGCCAGTGGCCGCCTCGTTGCCACCTGAGGATCCGTCACGATGCCGCCCGTGGCGGGTCGTGGTCGCCTCGTTGCCGCTTGGGGGGTCCGCCAAAGACCCGCCACGCTGCCACCTGTTGTCGCCTCATTGTCATTGGGGGCGTTCGCCGGGGATGTGCAACGTGGCCGCCCGACGCCGCTTCGTTGCGGGCTGGGGGGGGGTCACCGAGGATTCGCCACTGTCGCTTGGGGGGGTGCGCCGAGTATTCGCCATGATGCCGCCCGCTGCCGCCTCTTGCCGCGCCACCACATGAATTACACCACATGGCTTGCACCACATAGATTCTCCCTCCTATCTAAATAGAGAATGAGACTCCCCATCCTCTTTTCGTGCTGCAATTTAGATGTATTTCTTTCTGCCCCACCGTCCATCCTAAATATGAAAGTACGCCGTCCCAAGGTGGCCGGTATCGGCCCGCCCCGCCATCCTATGCAACAACTATTATGCGCGCGCGCTCGTTTATCAACATCAGTTTCCAATAGCCCATTGCAAAACATGAGACGAAGTGCGCACGCGCGCGTCGTAGCGCGCATGCCAAAATCCTTCGAAAACCTCTGGCTTCGTACGGATGTCCAAAAACCTCTGGCTTTGTAAGGAAATCCATCGAGTCGAACAAAACACATATAAAACAACAGGGTTTCGCAACACGGACTTTCAACAAAAGTGTGCGCGCACTCTCGCGCGAGTGCTTCAAACAAAAGCATACATAGGTGTTTCAACATTTTCAGAACTTGCTAACACACAGGCTTCGCGCGCGCGTCGAAATCGTTCGAACGCCCATGCGCGCGTGCCGTCGCAAGAATCCATTACAAAAAAGACGAGCTGCACGCGCGCGCGTTGTCGCGCGCGCATGCCGAAATCGTTCAAAACAAGTGTCCGAGAAACACATATCAAAACACATGGTTTCGCAACACCAGCTTCCGAAAAAGCGTCCGCTGGCGCTCTTGCGACGTTTTAGGCAAACCAAGAAATGCTCTCAAACAGTTCCATGGAACTGTGCCAAACAACATCCACCTGTCGAAATCGTGCGCGCGCCCTTGCGTGCGCATGATTTCGATAGTAGATAGCACCACATAGTTTAAACCAAACAGCTTGCACCGCATAACTTGCGCCACATAGCTGGCACCACATAGCTTGCACCACGTAACTCACACATCCACAGTGCAATCACCTCCCGTTGGGGCCTTCGGTGAAGCTCCCCATGGGGCCACGAAGCGTGTTAGGGTTTGCCGAATCAGGTTCTGGTGCGCCATGGCGACCCTGCCGTCGGAACCGCCGGTGGAGTTCCCTGTGGGGCCACGAAACGTGCGAAGTGTGTGCCAAATCGGGTGCGGTTACGCCATGCTGACCCTGCCGCTGGAGCCCTCGGTGGAGCTTCCTGTGTGGCCACGAAGCGGGTGAGGGGTGTGGCGCAACAGAGACGAGCGGGAGGAGGAGGAGGAGGAGGAGGAGGAAGGAGAATGAACGACGCGGGGCGCTGTCTACTCAAAACGGGGGCCCACCACCACAAGATGGTTGGGAAACAACTTACGGACAATCAATGATTTCGGCCTCTCGGGGCCTTCTTGGGAAGGCTCTTGGGGCTCTCTTATGGCGCCTATGAAGATTATGCTTGGGGCCATCTTGGACGTCTTGGACCAACTCTGTAACGATTCGTGGCAACCTTGGACCGTCTGGGCGAGCTCTTGGGGGTCTCTTGGTCCGTCTTGGGCCCGCTTGGCCACGAGAGAGTCATGCGGCAACACTTGGGGGAGCCCATGGGGCACGCGGGAAGCCCAAGGAGATTTGGCAATCTGGCCTGTGGACCTCTAAAAGATATCCAGTATCGAGAACTGGGGCTCAGGGGATCGAACAAGAGCCCCTCACAGGGGTACGGCGGCGGATACATATATATATATATATATATATACGCCACGCTTAAGGTAAAACGGACCATGTAGCGATACCTCTTTGTTGCCTTTTCCCGGATCGTCGTTGCAATCATGTTTTTCGATACCCTCCCCTCATGTTCCCTCGCCATCTCCCTCATTCTCGCCCTACCCTGCGAATTCGTCCCCATCCTCAGCCCCCTCTTGAGGGCCTCATGACAATCTTTAAGGGCTTGTTCGGGCCTTCTGGAGGCCTCCTGGGTTCCTTCTGGGGGCCTCTGAGTGCTTCCCCGGGCCACCCTGCTTCCAACAGCGGTCTCCCTGAACGACGCGTGGTCACGATTTGAATTGATTCGGGGGGCGTCTTGGGGCCTTCTTGGGCCGTCATCAGGCTCTCTTCGGGCCATCTCGGGGCCCTGCATGGCCGTCTTGGGGCTCCTCTTGGACTGCCTGAGGCGCCCAAGACGGCCCAAGACGGCCTACAAACAGCCCCAAGAGGACCCAAGACGAGCCGAAATCCGAGTCTTCCGGCCAAAGAGGCCCCCAGGAGGCCCCAAGTAGGCCCCAACAAAAGGCACCCAACGGGATATGATCCAAAAAAGCATCGAAAGTGCCCCAAGAGGCCCCCGCGACATCAAACAAACATCCTAGATGCCTACGACCACAACCCAGACACGGTGGCGTGATAATCCGAAAACCATTACAAACTCACACATAAAACTGTATATATGCTACAAATTACTGTAGGTGTATATGACATATTGGGTGGCCCGTTTCCCTCGTCGGTCGCATCCAACTGCAGAAACGTTCAGTGCCGCAAGGGCTTAGGCTCATGTGCTCCAAGGGGCACCCAGACGCTGGCAGGGGCTCCTGCACTCCCCTCCCTGTTGGTGGTTGCCACAGCATGAGGGGAAGCAGGGGCGGGAGGGAAGAGCACCAGGAGGAACGCTCCCCGGGGCACCCCTCAAAAGAACGAATGCCCCAATCGCCCCAGCACGCTGCACGGAAGAGAACGGAATGTCAGAAATGACTCTGCAGATCTTCAGCTCGCTTGGACTGGAACAGGGGGCCGGCAAGCAGCCAGAGGCCCCCCTCGATGCGAACATAGATTGCTCTCTTGCCAGCGGGCCCAATCCACATAATACCTACAACAATTCGCCTTAGCTGAGGGTGCGCCAACCAGGCCCAAGTCTACGGGTAGGAAAGCATGGGAGAGAGCGCGCTGGTGTCCGCCGAAGGGCGGGGCCTCCAGGGTTAGTGCGAGCGGGGCGGAGCACTTAGTGATCTTGTTCGAAAGCTTCGTGTGGAGGCAAGTGAGGGGAGGACGTATGGGAGAAGTGATTATGGTCTGGCGTCGATGTCCGAGCGGCCTGAATTTCGCCCTTGCGCATGTCTCTCCATGATTTTGAATCGGGACGACGATAGTCAGAGTCTGGGATGCGGAAGTTGCTAGGCAGACCATTCCTGAAAGTCAAGACTGCTCCCTCCATGCAGACTGGAGTGCCAGCCTCGGGCATCAACCTGGTGAGCTCCATCTCTTTCTGCATGCAGCTGGACACGACCGCCATCGATGCAGTCACGACTGGAGGCACACACTGGTGGGCCCGACACGGCGCCCGCTGCAGAATGAGCCAAAAAAGATGCGCGGCTCGGTGCGATGGACTCGTCAAAATCAAACCACAAATGCACGATGTGGAACCGTACGCACGCCAACTGAAACAGAGTCTTGAAATGGCTGACTTTGCCATCACCTGTTACCCTTTTCGCTCCTCACCCAAGACATTTTACAGAAAAAAAAGATCAACGCACACGGGTGAATCAACAACAATTCATCTGTTCCGTGAGGGCCTAGGATATAAAATGTGGCTCGAGGCAGAAGGGCGCAGATGAGAGAAAGGGGACGGATGGAGGACGCCTGGCAGAGAAGGCCAGAACGGCGACAAGAGGAGCACGGGGGAGAGCGAGCCCGGGACAGAACAGCAGGCTCGAAGACCCTTCCGGCAAAAGCCCGCCTCTGCTGCTGGTGCGGGAATGCGCGGGAGGATGCCCGGGGAAGTCTCCCCGACGCTCTTGGAAGGAGCCAGCTGGCGGACACCAGCTCGGCCCAGTATCCCCAAACCCCGCCGTCCAAAGCTGCCGCCAGGGCTCCTGGACGTCATCGTCGTCGTCGCCAACATCGAAGACCAGTGCGGTTCACTGCTAGGCCGCATGCTGCGAAGTATACATCCCTGATCAGGGCAACTCGACTGGCGTCTGTTGTTGGATGGGCCGGTGGGGATGTGCGGAGCGTCAAGAATTCCCAGGCGTGCGGGAGGGGAGTGGCGAATTTTCGGAAACGCTCATCCCACGTTCGGCAGAAAAATACCGCTACCGCGCTGTGCAGCGCTGTGTGTGTGTGTGTGTGTGTCTCGGTCGTGACCTGGGCCAGCCGCGCGCATCCCTTCGCCCGACGTTCTTCGTCGCGCCGCTGCGCGCGTTGCCGCGAGGCCAAAAATGTGTGGGCGTCGTTCACTGCCCTATTTGTCACTGGTGGGCCCCTCTCGCCCCCCCCTTTCGGCTCCGACCCCCCGAAAATCCCCGTGAGCTCGAGCACCAGGGGTCCGTGCTACGCTCCGTCGGCCCGATCGTCGTCCACCCTCGCGGCTGAGGCTGCCCCTTGGTGGCATGTGCAGCAAGGTTCCCTATGGGTGAACGCTGTACGCCCTGCTTGCGAGGCGAGGATGTATACATATCCACCGCTTGGGGGACCGTCGTTCTGGGACCCCATCGGGCAGTGGATATGGGTAAAATTTGATATAGTCCCAGGCTCCCGGGTGTGAAAATGTCTCGCCGATTCCGTGGGGCAGTCAGGTGCCCAGTGTAGAGAGTCGCATGCAGGCAGAGTAGAACGAAAAGACAAAGTGGAAACAGTGTAGATGATGTGCAATCAAACGTGAGTGCCTAGGATCATAGAAACAGCAATGGGGAGCCAGCAATGGTGTTGCCACATGAGGGAACCAAAAGTCGAAATCATGCTTTCCTAACAATTGCCTACAGCATCAATGAACACCATGCTGTTGTGTGAAGGCTTCCTTATACTCAGCTGAAGAGCTAGGCAGGCGATCATAGAAAGGCCTTATGCAGACTCCTTGAAATTCATTGGGTTGTTGAGCGTTTGATGTTCACATGTTGGCACTCCTATGTTGTTTTACCCTGGCGTTGCGATATGCGTAAGACGTGTGTCAAATGTTCTGAATGATCAGTTTGTTCCGAACGAAACGGTCAGACACAGCGCACGTGACAAAGTAAGCGCCTCTGAGCCTTACTCCTTCGGAGAGGTGCGTATCATATTACACACTGTATGTACGTATGTGTTCACACGCAAAGATGTAGGCATGCAGGCATTGATACATACGCGCCGATGCACCTATACATACATATTGAGAGAGAAGGGGGGGCATACCGTACACACCGAATCTAGACAACACAGCGCGAGAAATTCGCCGGCCCAAAGGGCCAGAGGCGCGCTAAGATCTCCGGTAACTGGTTCACAATTATTCTAGTTCGGGCTCGCGGGGCGGCCCCTGGGGGTCCCCCGGCGAAGAGTACCCCGACCGCAACCCGGGAAGGTCCCGGGAAGGTCCCGGGAAGGTCTACTCAGAGATGGTTTTCCTCCTGGGTACGGCCTCTCAGGCCCCCCAGAGCGCGCCAAGAGGGCCCCGAGAGGCCCCCAAGACTGCCCAAGAGGCCCCCGAGACGCCCAAAGGAAGCTCCAAGACGCCGAAGATGATCCCAAGACGGCCCAAGAAGCCGCCAAAACGCTCCAAGTGGCCTCCAAGAGGCCTCACAAGAGCGCCCCGAGAGGCCAAAGTCATACATTTTACGATGGTTTTGGAAGGATTTTGGCCTTGTCGCATTTTCGGTTTTGCGATGCTCCAAGACGGCCCAAGAGGCCCCCAAGAGCGCACGAAGACGGCTCAAGAGGCCCCCAAGAAGGCCCCCAGAGAGCCCAAACTGGCCCCGAGACGGCCCAAGAGTCGCCCAAGACGACCCAAGAGAGCCCCAAGACGGCCCCAAGAGGGGCCCAAGATGGGGACCACGAACCGAAACCTCGAGCCTTCCGCCCCAAGAGGGCCCCAGGAGGCCCCGAGAGGCCTCCAAGATGGCCCAAGATGCCGCCAAGAGGCCCCCAAGAGACCCCAGGAGGCTCCAAGGAGGCTCAAAGAGGCTCTACAAGGCTTCAAAAATGTCCCTCAGGCGCCCCCGAACGGCCTCTCAACAGACCCCAGGGCCTCCCAAAGAAGCATCTGGACGACGGCCCTGTTTGGCCCCAAGAGCGCCGCAAGATGCCATCGAGAGGCTTCCTCCTCCGCCTTTTTCTCTTCCTCCTCCTCCTCCTCCTCCTCATATTTATCTTCATCCTCCTCCGTTCCTTCTCATCCTATTCTCCTCCTCCCCTCCCCCTCCCCATCCTCATCTTCCTCCTTCCGGCGGCGCCGAAATGGCCCCGAGCCCGCGCCGAAGCAGTAGCGATCATGCAACACGGGCCGGCGGAGTGAGCGAAGCGATTGAATATATACATAGAGAGAAAGAGGAATAAACAACATATCGAAACTCGAGTCCAGAGCGGAGGGAATAACATAAAACGTAGCATGGAACAGAGCCTATACTGAGGATTGCATAATGCAGAAAGCAGAAAGCAATGGTGTAGAGAACAAGTAGTGGGAAGACGAATGCGGAGAGAGGAGGGTAAGAACATGGACAGTATAATGTAGAGATCAGACCTGAGGGGGGCAATGCAACGTGCAGAGAAAAGAGCAACATGATAGAGAAAAGGAAGGTACCTGAACGGTTTTATACCCTGCGCGCGTTCGCCTGTCCAAAGCTCGTCTCTGCGGGAGCCACGCTGGGGGGCCACGCTGGGAAGATGCGCGTGGGGCCACGCGTGGGGGACCACGCGTTGGGGACCACGCGTTGGGGACCACGCGTTGGGGACCACGCGGGGGGGCCACGCAGGGAGGGTTCGTAGCCGTTTCGGCTCGGATCCCGTCATGAGGGAGCGCCCAGAGGCTCCCAAGAACTTCTGCCAAGGCGAAGGCCTGCTGCAGGCCTGCCGCGGGACCCCAGACTGGCCTTCTGAAAGACAGTGCCGAGCAGCGACAAGCAGTGCTGGACAAGCCCGGTGTTTTCCACGCGTGCCTGACATGCGCCAGCCTGTTCGAGTTCCCCACGCCGCGACAGGGACGTCAGATGCGCGAGGCGCCGCGCGCGTGCCCATCCCAGGATCCCACATGGTTGTCTGCGATGTCAAGGCGAGCAGGCCCGTTGCAGGCTCCAGCGAGTCGTCGCCCCGGATGGACACGCTGAACTCCGAACCCTAACTCTGAAGGATTTCATTGCACATTGTGATCAGAGCGTGAAAGCGAGACGACCGAGCGGGAGCCACTTCTGGACCTCCGTGGGCCAAGACGCGGCGCAGCTACCAGCCGCAGCATGAGCCCACCGTAGAAAACAGTGATCGCACCCTCTCCCATACCCGCAGAAACGGGGCTAGAGCAGCAAGGCGCATAGCGGAGAGCAAAGAACAGAAAAAAACACAATGGCCATCCTCTGCTTCCGCCCGGTACCACCCCTCTGCTTTCACACCACGCGAGCGGAAAACAAACAAGATCTTCTCTTGAGCAAGTGGTCCCTGACACAAGTAACGGCTGCGTGGTGTGGACGGCACGCGCGGCAGCGCAAGTAACGGCTGCGTGGTGCGGACTGCACGCGCGGCAGCAGGATAAGGAAGCGAGCGCCAGGGCTGGGTGGCGACATCCGAACCCTACCCCCCGCCCAAGCATCGATTCTCCTGAATCGGTGTGAGGCGGGGGTAGGGTTCGGATTTCGCCACGTGTTCGACGAATTCCGAACCCTAGCCCGAAGGCCCATCGAGTCGCCTGAGTCGTTGACCAGCGAGGGTAGGTTTTAGATTTGGCCGCCGAGCCCAGGAGCGGTAAAAGCGCACTCCCAATTCGGCCAAGGAAAGGGGGTCACCTGCACTGCTTCTCGGACGAAGACATGGGGAAACAAAAATGCACCGCTTGTCCATGGACCTCTCCCGAGGCGCGTTCTGACAAGGACTCCGAGGCGAGTCCAGCCGTGGCGACGAGGGAAGCGCATCGTGATCGGTATCGTTTCCTCCTCTGAGGGCGGGCCCGCACAGGGGCAGTGGGTACTCGCGATGCATCTTCGGGTGGCCTTGTCTGTCTCATCGCGCCGCTGTCCGCGTCGAATCCGCATCGAATCCACGTCGAACGTGCCGAATCGAACCCACGTCGAAGCCACGCCGACACCGCGCAGAGTCCGCGTCGGATCCGCGCTGGCATGCAGGAAAATACCGCCATCTCTGGGACAGGCGAGGTCTCCCGCAGATGCAGAGGAATGACGTGTGCGCAGCCCTCGCCGCCCAAAACGGGGCGGGGGCGCACGGCGGCCCCTCTGCCGCCCGGTCGCAGCGGGACCCACCTCCGCCTCGAGCCTCTGCGCGGTGTCCACTTCCGTGGCGGCGTCGCGGCGGGCCATGACCTGGCGCTCGGCGCGCGCAGGCGGCCCTGGGGAAAGCCCCGCCGTCCAGGTCCCGTCTCCCTCCGGACCCCTCTGCATGGCGAATATAGCTGGATCCAGGGTCTGCGCAGCTGGAGTCAGGAGCTGCGGGGTCACAATGGGCGACCAGTCTCACAACGACACCCTACCCTCTGGGAAGTTCGCTGGCAATACACACGATGCCCACCCGAGCAAGAACGCCTCTCATTGAAAGGCCAGGCGCCATCATGAGCAGCCAACAACGAATGAACTTCATACGCCTGACTTTCGATCGAAACGCTATCCTTACGGCGGACGGGTGCTTGATCTGATCGATAAACGATGTGTTGAACGATGGTGCTTGAACTGATCGATAGACGGTATGCAGAACGATGACGATGCTCCGAGCACGAGCGTGATGCCTGGCTCGATGCTGCTGCCGCGAGAGGCGCCCATCCACAACTCGGGGTGGAACGCAGTGGCTTTGCAATCCTTCCCAAGCATGTGGGTGACAGAGACCAAGAGAGAAAGAGAGAGAGAGAGAAACCGAAAGCGAAGAGGATATCAATATAAGCATATAGAGGGATAGCGGGACACACGACAAACGATGTACATATGACATATATAGATATACATGTATATAAGTACGCGAGCACCGATATACATGGACAAGGCCACTAAACAAGGAGACGGATATAGAGAGATATAAATGAATATATATAGAGAGAGAGATAAAGTAAAAGGAGAAAACGATAGACAACCTATTCATGCGTGCACCTAATTTTTGAACAGAGCAAAACAGGAATGGATAATACCCGACAGAAAAGAAAGAGAGGGAAAGAGAGAAATAGTATGAGAGAGAGAGAGAGAGAGAAAAAAAAAAACGTGTGATATAAATAAAGAACGAGAGAGAGGTAAATATAACAAACAAAGGAAACTAGAGATATAGGGATAACGATAAACGAACATATTGATATACGCATATGCATGTGCATATACATGTCTGTATGAATTTATGTACGTCTGCATATATACATATATCAAAAATAAGAACCGCGCGCGCTCTCGGCGCGCTTGCGCTCCTCGCAGCTCCGGAAACCTCATCATCATTTTCCCCCCATAAACTATTGCCCCAATCACTCTCCTGGCAGGCAAGTGCAATTCTGGCCTCGACATCGTCATCGGCGTAGCCGCAGCCATCGACGTCGACGTCGACGTCGCCGGCGTCGTCGGCGTGGCCTGTTCCTATCCTATTGCGAATCTTGGTCGGACTGACGGCGAGCAGCATGTTCCCAGAAGGCTCTCCAGGAAAATGATTGTGTAGGCCGTGTCGGGGCTGGCGTGGAGGGATCCAAAATACCCCACATGAATGTGGAACACTAGAAGCTGTGTTGGCAACGTGCCACGTCCGGAACGAATCTGTCCACAACATTGTGCGGAACTTTGTCTGGAACAAACGCGTGGGCGTGGACTCCACGCCCCTGGCCCCCCCCATTTCCGAAGTCCTTGAGAGACCCAGGGCCCTCCGGCCTCGCAGCCCCCGCGGCCCGCAGGCCGCTCAGGAACGTAGATATCGGGCGTTCCGACGCCAGGACGGGCCAAAATGAACGTCCCTGGGCACGCGGCAAAGTCTGCCGCCCTCCAGGGCCAGCGCAACCGACCCTCGGGGGGCTTCCGCATCCTCCTCGCGTCGCGCATCATACGTTGGGGCAGTATGCTGGGGGGGCCCATGAGATGGTCGAGAAAGCTGGGCGCTGACCCTCGCCCAGGCGCGCGCGTGCACCGTGCGCCTTAACATCCATGTCACCGCCGACTCCCACGAGCAAGCCGGCCGCGAGGTTCCGATGCGTTGCGGCGACCCATGGAACCAGCCACGTTTAAACAAGCACACTACCTGGCGAAATCTGCAACGTGGGCATCGCGCAATCCTGCACCTGAGTGTCCGCGGAAGCTGCAAAGTGTAATGGGAAGTCCCATCGTGCATGTGGAAGACACGGAGCGCGAGCCCATCGTGCACGGCCCCCTATCTGCCCGCAGGACTGCGGCTGCGCGGGCCCCGCTTAGCAGCTGAACTGGCTGGTGTTTTTGAACGAGAATGCGCCTTCCCCCTCAGGGGTGCTGCTGTCGGCCTGGGCGTCGGGATTGATCCACTTGGTCGTCGGCCTCGCAGCCTTGGCGAACAGCCCCAGAGATGCCCGACGGACCATGTTGGCCCGAGAAATGACGCCCTGCTTCCCGACGCGCGTCTCGCACATTGCAAGGTAATCGTGGCTGGTTGAGAAAGCCGCTAAGAAGGGCAATGCACATGGTGGCAGAAAGAAAGAATCTGGCCACGCAGCCATTGGCGTCACCGGCGACCCCACCCACTGTGCTGCTTCGCCGCAGCAGCACTGGCTCGCTCTAGTCATTCATGCTGTTTCTGGTCGGCCAGCCTTGGTACCTCCACAAGATCCCGCGCCTGCCACAAGATCGGCAGCTCATGCAGCAACACCTCTTCCTGCAACAGCGAGTCATTCCTTGAAGTTCCGTTTCTGGTTCGGCCTGCGATGCGAAACGTCCTGTTGTGTCGCCGCCGCGCGATCCGCAAATGTCTTGAGCTCTGTGTTTTTCTGCTCGAGACTGAGTTTGCAGATCTGTAGATCCTATTTGAGCGCCCTGCAGGTGACCTCGCTGGACCCCTTAACGTCCGACTCCTCGAACTTGGCCCACATTTCCGACTGTTTGTGGCGGCTGATACTGGGCCGCGCGCCCTGCCCAGCACCCACGCCTGTGCCTCCAGCCTCTGGAAAACTCTTCACGCCATCCGCCTTGGCCGGCGCGGCCGTGGCCTCAATCTGAAAACGCTCGGCACGCTCCAACCCCTCGGCGGCGGCATGCTCTGTCAATTCCGCTACCTAGAACTGGGTCCTCAGCCGCAGCAGCTGGGACAAGAGCTACTCGTGTCGATGGTTGGCCGCTTGGGACGCTCCGTCCGCCTTCTTGACGGACTTGATCGCCTTCTTGAACTGCGGCGGGAGCGTGGCAAGGAGGGTGCGTTCTGCGTCCAGGGCGGCCCGCATCTCCGCGTCCTGGGCGGTCCGCAGTGCCTGCTCCAGCAAACTGTCTGACTGTTTGGTGGCCTGGCCCTTCGATTTGCGGCCACTGGGAATGCGGTTGCGACGACCGCCGCCGCCACCAGCTCTGCCCACGCTGAAGTTTTCCAACCCCGAGCCACCCTCATCCTCGAATCGAACGTGGCGACCGTATGCAGCACGGGAATTGGGCTGCCGTTTGGCACTGAAGTCGCAATGTTGGAAATTCATGCCGTTGGAGCGGTTCTCATGCCTTGCAGTTGTCGCAGCGCGTCCACGGCCTAGAACTGCGAGGCGGCATCCCTGCTGTCGCAGCCACCAGTGACAGTGGCGGAGTCCTCAAGCACCATGCCGAGATACAAGGACTGCCTGCACAACACCTGAATCGCCGAGCCAAATGGTCTGAGCTTGAGGGATGGATGGCTGCGACAAAACAGTAGGAAACGAGAGAGAGAGAGAGAGACAGGGAGAGAGAGAGAGAGAAGACATAACGACCGATAGACTGATAGTTTCCAGCGCAGTATCAGAAAAAACTGGTCCTTGCACACCGTGGCAAACAACAAAGCATACAAAACTGCATATCCGACGGCAGATGGGAGATCGTCCGTATGTAATGGCCCAGACGGGCAAGTCAATCCAACAACGCGAGATAGGAGAGATGGGGAGGAAGATGAGGAGACAGAGGAGAGGATACTTTGGACGAACGCCTTGTGTGTACACACGCGATGGCTCAACCCTGCCTCCGGCCAGCAGCGTCGCCAGGGGGGCCGCCACAAGTCTGGGACTCCAGCGCGGATGGCGATCTAGCGAGCAGCCTTCTGACGAGCAGAAACACCACCCTGCCCTCGGCTGGAGACCAAAGGTCGGCCAACTCTGGGGCCGCGCCGCGGAGCGTTACCCGGACTCGGGAGCGGCCCCTGGAGAAGACGCCCAAGACATTAGGGATACGGGGTCGTTTCTGCAGATGTGCCACACTAAACCACCCATATGCATTATCCTAAATGCAGATACGGAGACCTAAGTGCGGCTACGTCTGCATCGTGCTATCAGGGTAGAAGGGGTTCTTTCCCTATGAACTGAGGAGTCCTGAAAGAAACTGATCGGACCAGCTCTTTCTCCGGAGTCGCTGTGTGCTTACGGCACCAGGGCCCGTGAGCGGCCCACGGGAGGCGCGAAAACAAATACAAAACTGCAGGGGTCGTATCCCTCAGGACCCCTCCCTCATGGCGACCTCCAGCTCCCCCCGTCCTGTCCTCCGCCTCATCCTCCACCTCTTGGAGGAGGGCCTGCTGAGATAACGGCGGCTCTCCCGCCCAGTCCAAAGCAGTGAAAAATCGGTCCCTGCACTCCTCCCGTGGTCCATCCTGGCCCGTTTTCGAAGTGAATCCTGCCGTGGCGATAAAGAGCCTCCAGAAGGCCCAGAAAAAAAAAAAAAACGAAAACCGCCAGGAAGGGCCGCAGTTGTCTCGACTGGCGCTACTTTGGGAGAGGACTCGAGGGGCCTCGATCCTCCAGCCTCGATCCTCGAGGAACCCGTCTTGTGTATTCGCGATCACCCCCGTGACAAGCCTCGCCCCCCCACATCCACCCCCTGGTCACGTCACGATTCGCGCCGGCGCCGTCTGGAAATTAGCCATTCCCCAACATTCCCAGACGGCACCGCCGCGCATCGTGACGTGACCAGCCCTCTCACCCCTCCCGCCCATCCCCCCGGTCACGCCCGTTATCGCCAGGGGAGCAGAAAACCGATCTCGAGCCTCGACCCTCGAGCCCCGAGCTTCGGGCCGATCCTCGAGCCTCGGGTCCGCGCTGGCCCTTCCCTGCCGCGGGCCTCCGCGGACTCCAGCTGTTGGGCGAAGCGGGCGTTGTCGGCCTCCGCCTCCCGCTGCGCCTCCACCGGGGCCGGCGGGGAGGGGGGAAAGGCGGGATCCAGCCCCTCCTCCTGCTCCTCCTGCTCAACCTCCTCCTCCTCCTCCTCCTCCTCCTCCTCCTCCTCCTCCTCCTGGGTCTCTTCCTCCTCCTCCTCCTCCTCCTCCTCCTCCTCCTCCTCCTCCTCCTCTTCCTTTTCCTCCTTGACCTCATTTTCCTCTTCCTCCTTCTCCTCCTTCTCCTTCTCTCATATTATTTAGTTGTGAGTTGTATTCTTTATTCTCCTCCTTTGGTTTACTATTCATATTACTCCCATTCTTCCACTTCTGAAACCAGTCGCGCGCTTCGCACGCGCTGTGGTTCTAGTAATGCCCAGCCACTCCGGTCCTGATATGTCGGACCCCCTCCCCATTCCCAGGTCGCTAGCCCGAAGGCATCAATCGCCAGCGACGGCGAATCGCAGCAGGCAAAGCGCGCGGGACTTGGGAGTGCCAACGGCGAAAAACGCGTACGTCGCTTGGTGTCGCATCCCAAGGAGGGTCGTGATTGGCCCGAGCCCGAATCAATGTTCCTGTGAACGTCTCTAGGAATATCGTGTAGGACGTGTACGTGAAGCCCCTGTGGCGCGGAAAAGTTTCTCTGTCTCGAGGGAGGCCCCCTGCTAGGAATCGATGTCCCCAGACACCGCTGGATCATTGTTAGACGCGTGACCTCTGAGGGTCGTGGGGGCCTCTTGGAAACCATAGGAGGTTTCGGCTGGTCTTGCCACCCCTCCAGCTAAAAATCGATGTCCCCAGACACCGTTGTGGGATCATTGTTTAGGGTGTAGGCGCGAGACCTCTGAGGGTCGTGGGGGCCTCTTGGAAACCATAAGAGGTTTCGGCTGGTCCTGCCACCGTGCCGGGATGGTGGGTTACAGGCTCATTGGACACCCGGTTGGGTCTCTTGGAACGCTGCAAGGGCACCTCTTGGTGGAGCGAATGTTCAAGCCTCTTGAGTTTTCTGGAGGCCCCCTTGAGGCCCTCTTCTTGACCTCGCGGGGGCCTCTTGAGGAACCGTTCTGGAAACATCGCTCAGGAAGTAGACGCGTGGCCTCGGTGGGGGCCTCTTGGAAAGTCTCCGGAACATTCGGTTCGTACTGCAACCTTGCCTAGGGCCTCGGTTGTGATCAGAGGCTTTTTGGATACCTGTTGGGGTCCCTTGGCATGTGTCTCGGGCGCATCATGGGGCCAATTTTGAAGCCTCTTGAGGTCCCTTGGGGGCTGTCTGGGGGCCTCTTTGGGCCTCCTTTGGGCCTCTTTGTGCCCTGCTGGCGGTCTGGGGGTTCCACTTGGGCCGGAAGGCTCGAAATGTGCCTTGGTTGGGCCATTTTGGGCGCATATTGGACCGTCCTGGGGCTCTCCTGAGCCGTCGTGAGGCTCTCTGGGGGCCTCTTGGGCTGTCCGGGGGCAACCTTGGGAGCCTTTTGGCTCTTGGATGCTGCTAAAACCGAAGAAACGGGTATGTTGAACATTTATAATAGTTTGGCCATCCAGGGCGCTCCTGGGGAGCATATTGGAGCCTTCTTGGATTGAACTGGAATCTGGGGCCGCCCACGAGCGATTTTGAAGCCGTGCGTATGCAGGAATTGTGTCTCGGATGACTCTTGAAGCCGAAACTCCCGCGGCGCCGAAAACAGGCCCGAGACCTCTGGGACGGAAAAGGAGGAGAACTTTGGAGAAATGGCCCCTCCCTGGGCACGGGACCCCGGGCGCCGCTTTAATTGCAAAATTCCTTATTCGTACCATTATCATTCCTCCTCCACCTCCTCCTCCTCCTTCTCTGTCTTCCCTTCTCTCTCCGCCCTCCTCCCTCCTCCCTTCTCAACCTCCTCCCCCCTCCCCTCCCCCTTTCCATCGCTGCCGGTCGCCCATGAACGCGAGCCGGCAACGTGCGCGGTTCCAACACGGCGTGGTCTAATTGAAAAACCGGTCTTCTGTAACACTCCCCGGTGTGAGAAGAGTGCTGCATCATAGCGAGGCGTCGCCTCAACCACTGTGGACACATATCCCACCGAAAAATTCGACCCGAATAGAGAGCCAACGAAACAATGACAACGGAAGACCTCCATGAAGAGACGTCTACCGCCTGAAGCAAATCTCCAACTACCTGCGATCATTGATGAATGGCACAGAAAATTAACAGGGCAAGGAACTGCAGCTCCAGAGAATGACCGCATGGGAAGAACCACGAGACAATGACATGCGACTCGGATGAGTGACCGCGAACTGAAGGACAATCGAGATACTACCAATTGCATCAAATGAATAGCCGAAGAATGCGACCCAGTAGCCGATCAAGCTAGGACAAGTAACTGCACTCGGAGATACGGAGAGGCCAACGCTCAAGCCCTGCACGTCGCCTGGGCGCCCACGGGGGCGGCCTCCCTGCTGGGAGGCGGCAGCCGGGGCGGAGGCGACTTGAGTCCCAAACTGGCGGCGGCCGAACAACAAAACAATCACACGCAGGCGAATTCCTCAAGAGCGCGGGAATGCCCTATCCCCTTCACGGGGGCCCCAATACCCTGGTGAAACGCAGGAGACCCGCCGCCAGGAGGAGAGGGGGAGGGAGAGGGAGAGGGACGGGAGAGGAGGGGGAGGAGAGGAAAGCGGGGGAGGCGGAGGGAGAAGAGGAGCGGGGGGGCAACAACGGTGGCGAGCCCCTAACGCACCCCAACGCCCGGAGCCCCCAGGGGGCCAATAGGGCAGTGACCCGGCGCGCAGCCTGAGAGAGGATATCACAAAAAACTGCATGCTCAACTCTGGAGCTTCTCGCGGAGCTTCATCGCAGCCGCCGCGCGCGCCGCGCCTGGCCGCACGAGGAACCGGTCGCGCTGGGCACCGCCGCGCTTCTGCAGCTTCTGAGCCAGGCGGTCCAGGCGCTCCAGAATCACCTCCAGAGGCGCGCGCTCGTCACTCCAGCGCTTCACCTTCCCGAGCACATTGATGCACCCCACGCTATACTGCTGCTGCTCGAGGGAGGGGCCGCCAGAGCCGGCGACCGCGGTAGTGAATCCAGCAGGCCTCGCGGAGCTCGAGCTGGCCGCGAAATCGGCGCCAGCCGCGGAGGGCGCGCCCAGGGGGGCCAGCGAGTCGCCAGGCGCCTCCGGCGCAGCGTCGGCGGGCGCAAGCGGGCCAGCAGGCGTCGCTGGAAGCGCTGGGTCGGCGGCGGCGGCGATGGGCTTAGAGCCGGCGCTCGCCTCCGACGCCGTGACCTCGAACGCAGCTCCGGCGAGGGCCTCCGCCGCGGGAGCGAGCGTAGCGCCCGCGGTCGCCGCAGTCGCCGAGGCCTCGGGCAGCGCGCCGTGCGGGTCGCCAGCGGGCGCCTTCTGGGCGAGGGGCATCCCGTTGGCGTCATCGGCGGCCTCGTTCTCGCTATCGATTGACTGGAGGACCCAACGACACCTGTGGGCTGGGACGTGCGCCCCCCCCCACTGCGGGAGCTCCTCCGCCTCGGGCCCCTCGAGATCCGAATCGGATACGAGCGGGCCCCCAGGCGATCCAGGCAAAGAGGAGCTTGCCTCGCTCTCCTGCGCTGGCGGGGCGGCGATCGGCTCCCAGGCGGCGCGGCCACTCGCAGCGGTGATCACCCCGAGCGGCTCCAGGAGGTCAGACCACCAGGCCAAGAGAGCGCCCCACTCCGCGGGGGCGGCGGCCTCGGGTTCTGCAGCAGCCTCTGCGTCCGAATCGTCTAATGCACACCACTCTGGCCGCGGGGCCCCCTCGGGGACCGGAGCCGGATCCCTGGCTGGACCGAGAGCTTCGAAGTCCCCTTGCCCTTCTTGTCCGGCCGGCTCCGCGTTTCCTTGAGGGGCGGGCCTGGCTTCTCCTGCTGCTCGTCCGTCTTGGCCCGCTTTGTCTTCCGGCCCGACTCCGCAGACGGCAGCGCCCGGCGCCGCGACGGCGAGGAAGAGATCCGAAGACGGCTGGGGCTGAGGGCCCTCAACGCCCGCGCCCGCGAGGTCGGCCTCCTGCCAAGGTTCGTCCCAGGCGTTGAGCGGGAACGGGCTGCGCGCGAGGCGGCGTTCAGCTGGGCCTGTTCCAACTCCGTTTTGACACACTCGATCTCTGACCGGAGCCTCTGAGCCACGCTCTCGCGGTCCTCGGGCAGCGAAGGCGATAGGCTGTTCGGCCTCGGACCCGACGGTGTCCTGGGCAGGGGCTGGTCCACCATGATCTTCTCGAGGTCGGTCTGGTCCAGCGGCTCCGCCTCCGCCCGGTGTGCCTGTGCGCCCCGCTCCTCCGCCGGCTTCGGGAGGGGCCGCGGCAGGGGCCGCAGAAGCAGCGCGCGAGGCTGAGGCAGCGGCAGCGGCTCGCGCCTCGCAGAAGGCCTCGGCTCGGCCGAACCGGCGGGCCGCCTCCGCGGCGGCGTCTGAGGGCACCGTGCTCCCATCGCCGCGAGGGTGCCTCGGACCGCGGCCGCCACGGCCACCTCCAGGGCGGCGACTGCGGCTGGGCATCCCTCCATCCGACGGCCAGGCGCGCGAGAGGGGGGCGCGGGAGGAAGGAGGGCGGGGAAGCAGGGGGCGCGCGGCTCGAGCCGTCCTTGAGCCACCCTTTCCATCCCTGTTCTGTATAGATAACTCTTCACTGTCGCACGCCGAGGCCGAAAGGGCGGGCCGGGGAATACGCCTGTGACTTTCTCACTGCTTATGATGATGATTGATGTAATCAGCAAAAACTTCGCGGATGGAGGGCGGGTTGTTTTCAACATGTGGCTCTCGGTTCAGCGTCGCGCACAGACGCTTCAAACTCTACAGGAGTTGAACCAGATGATAGGCGGATCGATTTCAAGATGTGGCTCTCGCCTCAGCGCCGCACATTCATCACATCTTACAAGAGATTCGCGCATGGAGGCCGGTCCATTTTCAACACTCTCTTTAGCGCCGCGCTCATACGTGTGAAGAGTTTACAAAAGCTTCAGGGATGGAGCGCAGCTCCTTTTCACTATGTGGCTCTCGCGTTCGCGCCCCGCGCATTCGTCTTAAGAGTTTGCAGCCGTTTCAAAGATAATCATGGTTTAACGATCCAGAAACTATGAGTTGGCACGACGTCGGGATGTCGTGGCCCACAAGTCACGTGGACTCGCGGTGTTGAAGTCCCAAGTATGGCGTTCTGGCACGATTCAAGATCGTCAAGGCGCAACGCTAGCGACGTTGAAGTCCCAGGAAAGATGCTGTGGCGAAAACCCGAGCCATCAAAACCAAGGGGACTCCCCCCCCTAAACCCACAACCCCTCCCGAATCCCCCCCCACTCCCAAGGGAGGGGGGGGTCCAAACACCCCCCCCCTCGGCGCTGGCGCCAGCGCTGGCGGCCGCCGCAGCGCCAGCGCAGCGACGATGACCAGAGAGGGCCCAGGAGGGGGGGGAAGTTCAAACCCCCCCACCCGCCGCGCCGGAGCCGGCGCCGGCCGGCGCTGGCGCCGACGCTGGCGGCGGCCAGCAGCATCGACGGCGGGGACGCAGCCACGATGACCTCAGGGCCCAGAGGCCGCAGAGGGAACACACAAATCGCCAGATCAAGCCCTCGCATGCTCCTCAGATGCCCCCGAGACCCTTCTAACGAGACCTCAAAAGGCATCCATTAGAACTCTGACCCTTTGTCAAAACGCAGTGGCGGGAAGAGCCGAAGGCCACACCACCATCACCACCACCGCCACCACAGACCACCATACTACCACCACCACCGCCACCACCACCGCCACCACCACCAGCACCACCACAACCCAACACAACCCACCACAACCACCAGCACCACCACCACAAACCACCACACCATTACCACAACCATCACCACCACCGCCACAACCACCACCATCACCACAACCCACCACCAACACAACCACCACAAACCACCACACCACCACCACAACCACCACAACCACCACTACCACCCACCACCGACCACCACCACCAGCACCACTACCAGCAGCAGCACCACCACTACCAACACCACAGCCCACCACCACCACCAGCACAAACCACCACGCCAGCACCACCACAACCGCCACCACCACGACCACCACCGTCACCACCTCAACCCACCACCAACACCACCAAACCACCACACAACCACCACCACCACCGCCACCACAGCCACTACCACCACCACAACAACAAACCACCACCACCACCACAACCACCAAAACTACAACCCACCACCACTACCACCCCCATCACCACAATCTACCACACCACCACCACCACCGCCACAACCACCACCAGTACTACCAGCTGCAAAACCCACCACCACAACCACCACCACAACCACCACAAACCACCTGCCCACCACCACCACCACCGCCACTACCACTACCACCAGCACCCCCGCCGCCGCCGCCAGCCGCCGCCGGCTCTGGCGCCGGCCCGTGGAGAAGGAGAGAGGAGAAGGAGGTGTGGGGGGGGGGTTCGAACCCCACCCCTCCGTGATGGGAGAGGGGGGGAGGGGGGGGGTTCGACCCCCCCCCTCTCCATCCAAGGGGGGGGGGTCCCACCCCCCCCTCCAAGCGACCACAGAACTCGGAGGGAGGGTTATTGCAATATCGTTGGTGCAACGTCGGTTTACACTGGCCCCCATCCTCATACTCCTCATCCCCCTCCTCCTCCTCCTCCTCCTCCTCCTCCTCCTCCTCCTTCGCCTCCTCCTCCTCCTCAGCCTCCGACTCCGCCTCCTGCTTCTCCCCCTCCTCCGCCCTCTCCTCCTCGTCCTCGTCCTCTTGTTATCATGCTAATCGGCAGCCCCATCAGCATCATCGCCATCATCATCATCATCATCATCATCATCATCATCATCATCATCATCATCATCATCATCATCATCATCGTCATCGGCATCGTCATCATCATCATTATCATCAACACCATCATCACCATCATCAGCATCACCATCAACATAAGCATCAGCATCATCATAATTATCAGCATCACCATCATCAAAATCAGCATCACCATTATCTTCAGCAGGAACATCAGTATAATCATGTTCAACGGAAGCATCGTCGTTATAATCATTACCAGCATCCTCATCATTCAAATATACAGTATCACCATCAGCAGCATGTTCGCCATCAAGATCAGTAGCATCAAGAGCATCATCATCATCATCAACATCAGCATCATCATCGTCTTCGTCAACAGAGGCAGCATCTGCACCATATCCACCACCACCCCCATCATCATCAACATGATCAACACCATCATCAACACCATCAGCATCATCATCCGAAGCATCGTCATCATCATCATCAACATCAAGAGCATCAACATAATCCTCGCCATCGTCAATAATATGATAGATCGAACTTGTACCAACATTATCACCGTCGTCAGCATCATGATCGTCGGTATCGCCATCGTAACAAAAATAATCAGCATCATCACCATGATCATTACCATCATCATCAGCATCACCATCATCATGTCATGATCACCATCTTCATCAGCCTCATCACCAGCATCATCAACAGTTGCATCATCGTCATCACCATCTGGAGTAGCCTCACCAGCATCGTCATGGTGATAATGAACATCATCATCATACTCATCATCATTACTATCAGCATCATCGTCGTCGTCATCGGCATCACCAGCAACATCATCATCTGATCATCATCATAAGCATATTCTCTATCATTACCCCTCTCCCCAACCCTCTCCTCATCATCTGCCTCCTCCTCCTCCTCCCCTTCCCTCCCTTTCTCCACCCTCCTTCTGTTGGGCTGCTGCCACAAGAAACGCGAGATAGGGAACGAGGCCCGCTTGTTGGCCCCAAAAGCGCCTGGGTGCACGAGAAGCGCCAGAGAAACAACATTTGAAGGGGCTAGAGAACAGCGAGCCCATTCCGAACTGTCCCATGTGTCAGATGCTTTCCTGTATGCGCGCGTAGGATTGGTGTGATTCAGCGCTTCAGCGCGTTCTGTTGGCGCGTCCGCCTGTCTGCTAAAACCCATTACGCGTCTGCAAGTGTGATACATCCCACGTGTTTGTAATTATGCATCCACGCGTGATTAGACATTTGATTGCATAGGCTCACGTGTCCGGATGATATCAGCTTCATCAAGGGCTATTGATCAAGGGTATGTTCGAGTGCTGCCCGAGGCCGAAACGAATGCCTCACACGAAAGGTCCCGACATCCTGACCCTGATCTGAATGTGATCTTGACCGACGGCCCAAACTTGTCGACTCGGCTGGGACCTGTGTACATACCCCAGAAGAGGGAACGGTCCAAGGGGGCCAAAGGGAATGAGCCCCGAGGAATCCAAATGGCCTCCTACACATCCTTCGCCCAATACACCGCTCGCAGCCCGGCCGGGTCTGCTCCGGCCTCGGTGGCGTAGGCGCCCGTCGGCCGATGCGCGCAGGCGCCCCACTCCCAGATCGAGCCCAAATGCTGCCCCGCTGGATCCCTCAAGAGTGGCCACCCCTGGGATGAGACAGGTGGGGCAAGATGAACTGAGCTCCACGAGTCGGGAGGCGGAGTGAGCCAAGATGCACGTGGCCGTCTGCAACCGAGCTCACCAGGCCCACGCTGCTGCGCACTGCCCAACGCAGCTTCCGCCACCCCACAAGGAACCTGAGGCAGGTCACAAGGGCCACAACAACGGGCACGGTGGGCTCTCCTCGGCACAGCGAAACGCTACAGTGTCGCACCTGGATAGCCCCCCCCTATGCTTGCGGGTACCCTGGGCGCAGGTAGGATCTTGGAGGGCTTCAAGGCCATGGTCAATTTGAGACCGAACCCAAGGAGCTGGACGCGGAGGGGCGGACTTCCAGGCTCGAGGCTGCGCCCTTCCTGACCAGGACAAGGTGATGACAACCATATTGATAGGGACATGTGCCAGGCTGGAAACCTCCAGGACACCGAGAACCAGCATTACATCGCAAACGCTGGCCCACAAGGTCCCTGGGTCAGACTTCGCCACATGCTCGACGACTTCCCAACCCCAACCCCGCCGTCCATCTAACGCTTGAACCGATAATCGGCGAGGGTAGGGTTCGGATTTTACAGCCGAGACGAGAAGCCTCCAGGAGGCCCACAAGGGACGAAAACACCAGGGAGCGCCTGCGCTCACCCCATCGAGGCGGTGGAAACAGGGCGCGGGAAAACGTTGCTCTTGTTTTGACACTGCTTGCGTTGCACCAGAAATATACGAACACAGCCCGATCCAAACCGTCGCCCGCGGAAGCGAAGACTGAATGGCCGCGCGCTGGCGCCCGAAAAAAAAACAGAGAAACGAAAACACCATGCAAAAAATAGTACAACGGTTTGCTTTTTACTCGCGCCCCGAATATCACCGTCGTCGTCGTCGTCATCGTCGTCGTCGTCATCGTCCCCCTTCAACGTCGGCGGCACCAGCCGTAAGGCCTTCGCAATAGCAGCACAAGGTTTTGCGTTTTGCTCGCGCCCCAGGTGAGCGAAGGAAAAAAACGTATATTACGCAAAGTGGCTTACGGGGGCCTCCAGCACTGCATGCTGCATCGCAAACAAGGGTGCGCGCGTGCGACCTTACGCGGCAGCTTACGCGCCAATTTCAGAGCAATCGAAAGCGTTTTCTGGCGGCACGTACAAGGGGGCAGGGGAGGGGGTCAGGCTTCTTAGAAGGAGGCTGATCCTTAGAGCCTTAGGAGGCGCTGGCCCTACATCTACGGACAAGGCCCGCTGATAAGCAACCTCCTAAAGAGCTTCCCCCCCCTCCCCCCTGCAGCTGGCGCGCCAATGTCAGCGCAATCGAACCAGTTCTCTTGCATCGCCCCCCGTTGAGGCGGCGGGTGCGGACGCGCCCTGGCGGCGGAGGCCCCGGCACCCCGCAGGCCCCCAGCAGGCCCCCTCGGCAGGCCTTCGCGAGGGCGGCCTCCAGCTCCTCGCGGGCCGCGGAGCCCTGGGCGTCCAGCTGGCTCGCCTGCAGCGGGCAGGAGAGCCCATAATCAGTCGACGAAACGGATCGGCTACATCAGCATGGATCGGATCCGCGGAAATCGGCAGCCGAGCGGGAAGAAGTCGAACCAGCGGTAATCGGCAATCCTTTAAGGCCTCCAGGAAGAAGTCGGAATCCGAAATCGAATCGAATCGAGTCGGATGAATTGAATGAGCTCTGGGGGGGTGGACACCACCAGGCCGGCAAAACCGTACAATCGACGGACGGGAGCACGGCCAATTTCATGAGCCGCTCACCTTGCAATCAAAGTCGAGGGGCGAGGCAAAAAGCGTCCAGACTATAGACCATCAACCACAGAGGGCCTTGCCCGACTTAGGATGCCGACCTGCCCCGGTGGCCAACAATATGGTGATTCTGTCTGTAGCGCGCGGGGCCATGCTCAGAGGCTTTAAACAACCGCCATCGAGCCGACAGTTAGCCAGCCACTCTGCCACGCGACATCTGGTACAAGCCACATATGCACATATGGTGCAGACCATCGCCGCAGAGGGACGACGATGACGAAGGTGGTGATGGTGATTGTACCCTTCAAAGCCAGAACACGAGGCCTCTCAAAAGGGCCCAAGAGGCTCCGAAGACGGTCCCGAGAGGGGCTCCAAAAAGCGCGCACCTGTCGCACCGCTGACCCACCGCCAAGACGTACCCAAGTGGGCCGCAGATGCTCCCAGTAGCTCCCCTAAGAAGCCTCTCAAGATCCCCCCGAATGTCCCAAAGGCTTCTGAAGTGCGACCCGGGCGCAGCGGCGGGATGGGCCGAGGACCAGTCAATACCATCCCTTCCATTACGCCCGCCTTTGCCCCTTGCCCCCCGTCCCTCCTCCGCCTCCTGCACCTGAGCTGTTGACTTCCAGGATCAGCGGCACGGGTCGTCAGGGCTTCGTAGTGTGAATCCAAACTACTGCGTTGTAGCCCCATTTCCCGTGGTTCTGCCAAAATAGTTTGCGCGCTCCCATGCAAAGTACTGTGACTTGCTGCACCTTGCTGTAATGTGCAGTGCTCTGCTCTGTACTGCACTGCGTCGCGTTGGACTGTACTGTACTGCGCCCGACTGACAGCGGATGCCAGGGGAGCGGCAAAGCACATCTAGTAATAGAGTGAAAGTCCTCCTGTGCGATCGCATCGTCGCATTCACGAACACACTGAGTCACATACTGCTCGCCCGAATATCTGAACCGTTGGCGCAACATATATTCGACACAGGACATCAGGAGTGTACGAGAGCACTGAATCAACGTAACAGACGGCATGCAAATAATGGGTGGAAGCAGGACGGACAGACAAGGCAAGGGAACGGAGGACAAGCGCTGGCAAACCTGTGCGCGGTGCACGTGCGCCTGGCCTACGTCCAGCGGCGGCGGCGCGGTCACACGCGCCGTGACTCTCACTCAACGCGTGTGCGCGAGCATCCGCATCGCATAATGAAAATGCGCGTGCGTGGTGCTGCACCCATGCATTCATTCCGATAACCGCCTCTCGCCGCGTGGTTCGTCCGAGAAACGGGTTGAGACAACGGCAGCTGAAAACCGGTCCGACCCCTCCCGGAGTCCAAACGCACCACTTTTCCGAGCTGCGTCGAGACGCGGCGACGAGGAGCACCCCGAAGGCCAACTACCGTTGTCCCAACTCGCCGTCCTGTGACGTTCGCCGTTCGTCTGGTCTTCGGGTCATAACTCGGGCCTCTGGTGGCCGTTCCGGACGATCCAAGCACCCCCTGAACGCTCTCGACGAGGCGCAGCTGCTGGAGAGCATAGCGAGACTGGAAAGCCGCCGAGAACCGACGAGAACGTCCGAACACCTGCTCGTCCTCTCCTCATCCTCCTAACTTGGACGCCCGAAATTGGTACGGAAGAAGTGGGCCCAATGCCCACCAACAAATGTCGTCCAAAACCGGCAGCGGCCGCTGTTGGGCGGGCGGCTTTTTTTATCATTGAAGAACAACGTCCGCGGCGGCGCGGACAGCGAATCCTGTTCAAAATGAGCAGGAATTGCTGTTGGACATCGCACCCATTCCGTACCCACTTCGATCCTCCTGATCCTGGCTCGTCTCTCGCCCTCTCCTCGTCCTCCTCCTCCTGCCGGCCCACGCGCCGAGGGCTCCCCGAGAGGGGCGCGCCGCCTTCTCCGCGAGCTCCGCCGCGAGGCGCGCCTCCGCCTCCTCGCTCCTGCGGAGGGCCTCGAGGGGCGGCGCGGCGCAGACGCGGGCAGCACCCGCAGTGTTGTGCGGCGGCAGGCCTCGCAGAGAAGTCTCCTCCCGCCTCCTGCTCTCCTCTGCCATCCCTCCTCTCTCTCTCTCTCGCCCGATCCATCCCTCTGCCTCGTGGCCTCTCCCCTTCCCTCCCTCCTTCCAGAACTTGCTTCGCGCCGTCACTCACTCCCTCCCTCCCTCCTTCTCGTCCCTTTTCTGACGCTCCCCCTCCTCTCCCGTCCTCCTAGAGTCGGGTGCTGCCAGAATGACTCCTGGCCCAAAATGCCCCCAAGATTTCCAAGGAGGCCCCAACGGCCTCCAGAGCCCAGAGAGCCCCGGGGGCTCCAGACTGGATCGAAAAGCTGGATGCACCGCGGGCCAGGCGAAACCTTAGCAACACCCGAGATGGAGGCCTCCCAGATGGGTCAGAGTAGATGGGGTCGGAGGATCAGGCCGCATCGCGGAGGCATCGAAGACGTCGGAGATGCATCGGGAACGCCGGCGTGGAGTAAATCGGGCTCCACATCGAGCCGCATCGCCGATGCATTGGCGATGCGGCGCGGTCCGCCGACGCCATCTACTCGGATCCAATCTAGGAGGCGTAGAACACAATCAGGCAGCCCAGGGGTTAAAAAGGGTCCGACCGTCCAGGTGTGTGTTCTTGTAGAATTACCAGGGCATGTGCTTAGAACAAAGAAGCGCTCTGCGAACACAAACAAACTATCGGATTACCATGGCATAAACACACAGACGTCCTAAAACGTGAATGTCTCATCTATGAAATGCTCCAACCTTTTTTTATACAAGCCGCCACAAGGTTCTTGGAACATACTTGGACAGGCTCAGAGGTACGCCAGGACGCTCTGTCACCGCTGGCAGGGGGAACGCGGCATGCATCCAAGGGAGACGATCGCCCAGGCTGTCGACGAGGCTCTGTGGCGAACTCGTGCAATTCTCGCCCCAGGGCTGATCCGCCCCTGCAAGAACCAATCGCGCGGGCTCCACGCGCGCTCCCGTTTCAGGCGTGGCGAGCAGCGCATGGCTGGCAGAAGCCGAGCTGCGCACCGCCACGCTCCTGAGCCCCTGCGATCATGCAGCTTGCAAACACGCCTTCCGACAGTTCACCGGCTGGCCGATGGTGCGGGTTGCACGGAGCATGCAAGACGACTGGAGAAAGACCTGCGCCGGAGCGCGCCGTCTGGAACGCGCCCTGCGAATGGCACTTCGGGCCAGAGCGAGAACGAGGATGCAGCAGCAGGAGAGCAAAGCAGGACTGACAGGAAGAGGTGCATGAGGAACGCGGTGAGCAGGAGGAGGCGGACGACGAGGAGACGGACGAGGAGCACGACGTTGAAGAGCACCATGAGCCACAAGGCAGCCAATAATATCGAAGGCTCTGAGGAGCGCACAGAGGAGGGGCAGGAAAGAGAGAAGGCGAAAAAGGAGGAGGACGAGGAGGGAGAGAGGAGATGCAGAGGGTGGAACGAGGAGGCGGGAGGAGAAGCCTCCAGAAGGAGGCGAGAAAAGGCATGCGGAGAAAGAGGGATGGAGAGGAGGGGGAGAAGGAGAAGGAGAAGGTTCCGAAGGCGTCGTCCAGGATGTTGTTCTAGTTGGTCTGGTCCACAGGGCAGCCGAGTGCGTCCACAGCTACCCCGTGGATCTGTGTTGGGGCCGCAGATTGGGATACCTATGGATTGGTGTCGTTGAATCGTGCTCTATCATCTTGGGGCCGCCCTGGGTGAATTTCGGGCTCCCTTAAGGATCTCGTGGGGCGCTTTGGGCTCTCCGCAGCTCAAAGCCCTAATGGAATCATGCTCAGGAACATAACTGCACATGAAAGAAACAAACACCTTCAGGAACGCATCCAGTTTGGGAAATCCGTTTGGGACCTTCTTGTGGCTCTCTTGTGGGATGCTGCCGTCGCCGGGTCATCATGAAACTTGCTAGGCCTTCTTGAGGTCGTTGAATTCCTCAATTTCCCCTCCTGGTGCATCTTGGTGGGCATGTTGGCAGTCTTAGAGGCTCTTGGAGCCGCTTGAGGCCGTCCCACAAGGGCCATGGGAGAGTGTGTAGATCTTGGAGTAAACTTGTAGCCAAGTTATAGCCCCTGGTAAGGGGAAAGCCGACTGTGGCGGTAGGGAGCGTTCTTACAAGTAGAACAGCGTCGGGCTCTGGAAAAGCCTCGTGCTGATCAGCGTTGGGAGCCCAGGCATTCGCGTCAGCGGCCAGCGCTCTCCTGGCGCGGTCGCGTCACATGTCCAGCCCAAGCTCGTGCCACAACTTGCCGCCAGACACCCCGCCGCCTCCACTCGACCGCAGGGGTCGGCGCGAGGGGCGGCCTTCTGTTTTAGACTGGAGCGATAGGTGCAGCGCAAATGCGCGGGGCGGTTGGATGCGCATGAGTTCGGTTGCGCGAGCTATCGCGTCAAATATTGCTGGGGGGGCGAACAATCGCAAGAGACGAGCACGATTGCGACCGAGAGAATACACGACTGCATCCAGGCGCAACTGGTGCGTCCAGACCGCAGACCATTGCAATCATATAAAAGCTGCTGCAAATCCTATTGAACCTACCTTGCCCCCCCCCCATCTGTGCTACCGTCACTACTCCAGCGTAGATCTAAGCAGGAGGAGGGCGTCTTGAAAGAAAGGGCATGGGGCCTTCTGAAAAGGCCACGGAGGCGCCAATTTTCTGGGACCAACTGGTTGCCCCGATCCTCAAAAATCTCCACCGACTCCCGCCAACAGGCTCAGGGAGAGCAGGGCAAGCATAAGTAGTCAACGCTTGGTCGAGAACATTAACCCGATGCCCCTGAGAAAAACACACAGGGGATGATAAAGTTTGGGGTCTCGGGAGGATAATAAACGATGTGTCCTGGCAAGTCGCACGAGGGATGTATGACTAGGCACGAGGAGGTCGTCGTCGTTGTCGCCGCACGAAGACAATGACATCGACGACTACGACTACGACGACGAGGATGTTTCCCGCAATCTGTCTCGTGAGAGGCCTAAAGCTTGCCCGCACTCTTCAGATCCTTGGCGCTGCTTGCCAGGAATTCCACACATGTTTGATGATGTTGCTACTGAACATAAAAAGATAGCACTTCGGTTCAAACCTTCCCCCGCGATAAGAAAGTTCGGCCTTGCCGCCCCTCTCCCCCGAGCAACTCTGTCTTGGCCGGAGAAAAATCCACTCTCAGGGGAGAAGGGGGGTGCTCTGAACTGGTTGGGACCCCAAAAAGATGGTCAGGAGGGGGATGAAGCCAAATCCTTTCAAAATCAGTCCCTGGACCACTCCTGGGAACCATTTGTTGCAATCTTTCACTCCGTATTCGTTTTCGACGGTCCAGGGGCCCGAAAACCGCATCCAGAGGGCGAAAAAGGTCAAACATCTCTCTGGACCCAGAAACTCGAACCTCGCCCCCGTTTTGCTGGCCACCTCAGACCCCCATACACCAACAAGAGGTCCTATTTGCAGGCATCCCTGCCCTCAGCGAACGGCTGAATTTTCGAACTGGCATCGAAGATGTCGTCTGCATCCACCGACCCTGTCCGCATATGTGAGACGTTTTTCCGTCGTCGCCGTCGTCGCCGTCGTCGCAGCCGTCGCTGTCGCCGTCGCCGTCGCCGTCGCCGTTGCCGTCACCGTCGTCGTCGTCGTCGGCGGGATCCTGATTTTGAATGTTTTTGGGACACCACTCAAGTATGAGGTGCCTTTTAAGTGAGTTGTTTGGGGAACATTCAGGCGGGAACCTGATGTTGGATGTTTTTTTCCTGGGCCTCTCTGGCGGGAGCTTCCTTTTTGAACGAGTGCTTGAAGGACCTCTTCTTCCGTTTCTAAGTTTTGAACTGCGTTCCTCGAGTGGTACAAGCAACGACGCGACGACGACTGGGGAGGAAGATAAGGAGGCGGGATGGGACACGGGTGATGATGACGAGGACGAAGAGGACGATGAGCAGGCGGCGGGATACCCAGCAGCGGGAGGAGGAGAGCAATGCTTCCTTCCCATCCGACGGCAACGACGGACAGTGCTGAAGGCGGCATGCGCCCCCCACCGAGTTCGAGGGAGGCCGCACGGCAGGGCTTGCGCAGTCTCATGCGTTGTTGTCTTTGGGTTGTTTCTCACCCACTGCTTTAAAAGCATCGCGGCGTTTTGTTTGCCCCCCGAAGATCATGCACTCCAGTTTAGATGGTGCCGGGCGCAATGCCCTCCTTGTCGGGCGCAATGCCCAGTGGCGCCTGGGCGCAATGCCTAATCGGGCGCAATGCCCCCCTCCACCGTGGTGCAGAATGGGCCGGCGTGATGCGCGAAGCGATGGACCACTTTCGGAGCGTAAGGGGGCGGCACGCTCCGCGCGCCAGGGCTGGGGGCCCAGAGCCGATCCTAGAGATCCGTGCAGACATCCGAGAACGTCTGCTCGTGCAACTTGTTGTTCCTCGAGGGTGAGCCCAGTCCAAATCCCTTGGTGGTCTCCAAACCAGGTGGTGAGACACCCGGTGGTGACCCCGATTCCCCCAAAAAACAATTCTGGGTCACCACCGGGTTTGGGGACACGCGGTCGCCACGAGGTTTTGCGTTTCCTGGGCCAGCCAGCGCTCGAAAACCATTACCCAAATCGCCCAAAACTCACCACCGGGTGTTCTCACCACCACGTTTGGGGACCACCAAATCCCCCTTGCAAACACTCCCGGGATCCCATCACTGACCGCGCGTGCCGGAGCCATCGGTGAGGTTCCTTGGGCCCGGGCTGGCTCTTCGAAGGACGCCTTCTCTCAGGGGGGTCAGCAGGGGTAGCACGGATACGCGCGCTCTCGCGGAATGGATTCCAGGGCGCGATCCAATGAATACGCGGTCGCACGGATACGTTCCGCGAGGGGCATCCGCGACAAAATGCCTCGTATCCTTGGGGTCGCGGCCAAAGGGTCTGTCCCGCGAGTCGGCGGATACGGATATGTGTTTAGCCCACGATCCGCGGAAGACAGGCGGAGCGGTGAAGCAGCCTGGTTCGTCTCCCTCAATAGCTCCCGCTGGCTGTCCAGCTTCCCGTCGAGAGCGGCTGCCTGGCGCATGGCCTTCGAGATCTGCTCCTGACGGGGCGGCAGAGCCAGCGCGATTGGCGCGGGTGCAGGGGGCCCAAGACCTGCTTTCCGTTCACTTGCTGCACGGTCCGTCGTCTACCTGCTTTTCGCTGTAGTCTCCCTCCCTGTCAACGTGCAGCAGTTCGTCGTAAATACTGTGCGCATTGTTAGGATGCGTGCCGATGACCATCAGGAATTCCTTTGCGAGAGGTCGTAACCGACGAGCGCAACCCAAAGGCCTAGGTCACCCAACCTGGCCCTCGCGCTTGGCGCTTGGCGCTTGGCGCTTCGCGGAGCGCGACTCGTTTCGCGCCTTCGCGTCAGCCCTCTGCTGGAGAGGGCAAGCTCTCCGATCCAGGCCGCAGAGCGCCAGGTGTGGTCATCTTCGCGGCCCTACGTTGACCTGGGGGACAAGGGCAATCAAGACCTGTGGACCTGGGGCAACACAATCATTGCATTCCACAGGTTCCGAGTGTTCAAATTCCACCTCATAGGCAAGGTGGGATGCGTGAAGCGCCACGGACACCCATCGAAATATGGCAGGCAGTCTAGAGTCCCAAACCTTTGCCTGGGAACGTTTCCCTTTACAATGACGACGGCAACGTGAGGATTGATGCCATCAACGAAATCTAAAAAGAAGGAGTCGGTAAGCAATATTAACTGCAGCCCGACCGATCTCGCCCGTTCCAGGCAGGTAAGACGAACACGCTGACGAGGAGGGGGGAAGGTGGGGAGGGGGGAGGAACGAAGGACAATGAGAGAGGCACGCCAAAGCCGGCTGGCGACTGTAGAACAGATCTGGGATGACACTGCGAGCGAGGAGTGACGAGAGCGGCTGCTTGCCACTGCCATCCAGAGAGTAGTTCATCACTAATGGCGCTGAGTGCCAGTGGACAGTGCCTCCCAAGGAGGCGTGCGAGCGATACTGGGCCCCGCGAACTTCGGACAACATCTCTGCACAGTGGTGTCAGATAACCCCCTCAACCCAAAAGTCCACGCGTGCCCTCCTCTCCCCCTTGTCCAAGATAGGGGCGCGCTCCTCGTTCCGAGTGCGCTCGGCGTTGAGCATCTCCTCATGGGACGCCTTCGTGCTGGCGATCTCCTTTGCAGACTGTTCGCGCAGGGCCTGGGCGCCACAAGCGGCGCAACGAAACGAATCCTGGATGCAGGTGCTCCGACTCCTGCGGGTCAGATGCGCCACAACTCGACGACTTCGAAGGGCGCGGTCTGCAAAGGAGGTGATTGCAACCCGCATCCGGGCTGGGCGGGCGAAGACCTCGCCTCAGCTCTCCGCAGCGCCCTGGCGAAGCCCGGATGAGGGCAACGTGGTGCCCCCCCAAGCGCCAATGACGCAGATCGCAAACCACACCCCGGCGTGGCCAGACCCTGAGCCCACTGGGGTGTCGTTAGGTCCCTTGAAGCACCCGCGGCCTCGACTCGCGGGCGTTCGGCGATCCCTGGAGTCATTTGGGTCCGGCCCAAGAGGCCAAAATTAACGAGCCATTCCAGGCATCAAAAGAGTTTTGAATGCTCGCCTTCTCGTCCTGGAGAGCGTCCAGTACGGCCCCAGAGGCCCCACATATGTATCGCACCAGAGCGACCCCCGAATTCTCCCAGAAAGCCCAAGGAGCCCTCAATGCGGCCCCAAGAGAAAATGGGAACAACAACATGGCATGTCGGACCCTTCCTTTCAAGCGAGTCTGGCGCGGGTGAGGGTAAGGGAGTTTGAGCCTCGGGTCCTCGGGCCCTGGGACACGGTCGCCGGTCACCCGCCGACCCTGCCGGCGTGTAGACGAGGTTATTTCATTCGTCGCAGTTTCATTCGTCGTCTCCTCCTTCTCCTCGTCGTCGTCGTCGTCGCCGCCATTCCAAGCTTTCTCCTGGGTCTCCTCCTCCAGCGCGCCAGCCGTTGTCTCTCGTACCCTGGGCCGTTCCCTTCAAACGTGCCAGCCAAAACGAAAATAATGAACGTCGTAATCTATTTGAAAGGAAGCCCCTTCCCTTGATCCCTTCCCCGCCAGGGGCGGGATCTGGGGAGGGGGGTCCCTCCTGGGGCGGGCCCCGGGGGAGACCCAGGACCCCCGGGGGTTCGAAAGCCCACACCCCCCCAAGACAAACCACCCAAGAGGCCCCCAAGACGGTCCAAGAGGGCCCCAAATCGCCGAATTATCGGTTCATGGGGCCAAACTAGCCTCCAGAGGGCTCAAGAGGTTTCGAAGACGCCTCAAGAGGCCTCGAAGAGCAATCCCTAGAGGGCCCCACGAGGCAGAATCAGTGATTCCCGTACGGATTTGCACAGATTTGGGGATTCTCGCCGTTTCGGCTTCCCGACACTCCAAGACGGCCCAAGAAGGCCCACAAGATCGCCCCAAGATAGCCCAAGAGGCCTCCGAGAGGACCTGAAAACGACCCAAGAGGGCCCTAAGACAGCCCAAGAGGCCTCCAAGACGCCCCAAGAGGCCCCCAAGACGGCTCCCAGAGATTGCCCAGACGGGGGGGAACCGAATGGACATTTCAAGCCCTGGGCCTGGGAGGACGCCCCAAAGAAATCCCCAAGATGCTCCTGCGAAGCACCAAGAGGCCCCCAGAAGCCTCGCAACAGGTCCCCAAGGGGCTCCCAAGAGGCCCCCAAATTACCCCCCAGAGGCACCCGGGAGCGATCCATAGAGACCCCAAAGAGCATCCCTCAGGATTTTGACACACGTAAACATCGTCGTCGTCGTTCAGGGTCGGCGGCACCGGCCGTAAGGCCTCTCCGAATAATAGTAGACTATGTGAGATTAGCTAAATGCTGCAAATCTGGGATGATGTATCGCATGGTGTCACATGAGGATCAAGCGTTCGCGCTCCTTAGGCCACACCCTGTAGACAATTGCTACGAGTGTGCGCCTCCGACGCCACAATCCTTAGTAGATTACGACGCGCTCGCGCTCCCAAGGCCACACCAGCGGGTACATCATGAAACATTCGCGCTGTAGGCCACGAACTCGCCCCACAGAATCTGCCGAAGTGCGCTAACCTTCAACAGACCAGAGCATGTGCCACTATGTGTGTTCGGATATGTGTTCGGGGGGGCTTCTCGGACCCCCGTAGAGGCAACGAATCCTCGAAAACTGCTAGGGGCGCACGCGTCCAAAGCCGCGAACCTGTCACTTACAGAAGAAATAGGCGTGCTCCCAATGCCATTCCCCCTTCATTATTATCGACGCGTGCAACAAGCCAGCCAGCTTTCAGACCCCATCGACCGCCAATCATCAATTGAGAAAACAAGTCAATCAGTCGAGTTGACAGCCAGCCAACAAAGAAGAAACCCAACCAACCTACCTACCAAGCGTGGCCGGGCAAGCAATATGAGGGGGAACCGGCGGCAGAGGGCACAGCCTTTCAGATTCACGTCTGGACTGCGAAGCGCGTCGAGAGACGGGTGTGTGCACGTGGTCCGACTACTCTTTAATTCAATTATGTTCAGTTCCCCCCTGACCCCCCCACCCCGACTGCGCTTTTGCAACCGGGACCCCAGGCGGCCTCGATGGCCCAATCTTCAGCCCCGACGGCCCGAGTGGGCCCGAACAAGGCCCCAGGACGGTTCAAGAGTGCCCCAGGACGGCCCAAGATAGCTCCAAGACGACCCAGGATGCTCGCGTCAATTCTTTGAACGACTTTAGCGTTCTCGCCTTTTTGGGCTTCTGGCGCTCCAAGACGCCCCCAGAAGCCCCCATGATCGCCCCGAGACAGCCTCAGATGCCCCTGCCCGCAAGACAGCCCAAGAGAGCCCCAAAAGAGGCACCTGAGAGACATCCAAGACGGCCCTAAGGCGCCCGAAGGCCAAGAATTTAGAGCCTCCAGAAGCCTCCACGAGGCCAAAGGAGGCCTCCAAGAGGCCTCAGAAAGTCCCCCAAAGATCCTTCAGAGGGTTCCGAGAGGCTCCCCAAACAAATCAGAAAGACATAAGACGGCCTCAAGAGGCACCCGTTTCCTCCTCCTCCTCCTCATCCTCCTCCTCCACGTCCTCCACGTCCTCCTCCTCCTCCTCCTCCTCCTCCTCCTCCTCCTCCCTCTCTTCCTCCTTTCTCTTCCTCCTGAGTGTTCCCCACAACGGCTAGGAAAAAACATAGTCCAACAGCTTGGCGAGACTTTGGTCCAGCACTTGACCGCATGGGCGTTTCCAAAACGCAGGGGGCGGCGGCGGTTCGAACTAGGCGTCTTCGTTCAACCCCAAACATGCCTACAAGAGGCCCCAAGTCCGCCAAATGCCGTCCTCAAGTGTCAGCGAGACCTCCTCCTCCTTCACAGCCATCCTCCTTCTCCTCCTCTTCTCCTCGTCCTCCTCCTCCTCCTCCTCCTCCTCCTCCTCCTCCTCCTCCCCCCCTCTCTTCCCCATTTCCGTCCTCATCACGTCGTCTCCTCAATGTTCACTCCCGATCCTCAGCCTCCGCCTCCTCCTTACAGACACATGCGTGCTTGCCCGAACACGCAATGAATATCCCACGCAACCTTCGAGTACTGTACAGTTGCGATTCCTGTCGTGGTCCGTTCCTCGTAAGGCTGACCAACTTTCGAGAAATTGCCCGAATGAACTGTAGAAACCACCATACAGCTGCGAATACCCAGAACACATCTTCGGTCGCACCAGAGAGCCCAACAAACCCAAGACGACCGCAATGCAGCCCTTCGCCGATCCATGGGAACCACATACATCCAGCCGCTCCGTGAAACCCACGCCTGTCTGGACGTGATGCCGCGAAGCGCTGCGGAACAGATAATGTGTTCTATGTTGACTGCTCTGCCCTCACCTCCGATCTCATGTTGACCGAGCGCGGGGTCTACAACATCGGCACACAGCAAGGGGTGCAGAGGCAAGAGATGGCGACGTATGAGCAAGAGTAGAGGCAGGAAGAAAACGAGAAAAGGAACGAAGAACAGACGGTGCCATCGTGCAGACAGGAACGTCGAGCCTCGATGTCCGCGACGGCGCCTTTGTTGGCGGCCATCTCTCGCCGCAGGTCCTGGGCTGCGGCTGCCGTAGGGCCGCTGCTTCTGATTGTTGCGTTGCGAAGGGTGCCGTACGGGGGGCATGCGGAATGCGAATAGCGATTAGGCAGAAAAAGAAACGATGAACCAACGATGGCGATCGGCACTCCAGGTGGCTCGGGCACGAGTCCTATCCAGCAAGCCATGATGCATGCATGCTTATGGCAGCGGATGGAGGGGCCATAATAAATAGAAACCACACATTGAGTGTCCCGATCGAGCCGCGTAGGCAACTGAAGCACTGTGCGCGACGCGCCACGGACCACCAAGCGTCCTCCAGCTCAGCATACACGACCGCGTGCTCCTTATCCTTCTCGGTGACCTGGTGGCTGATATCTGCATATGCTCTTGGGCACTGGCGCTCTCTACTCTGTCAATCCCCCCCCTCATGCGACATTCCTCCCTCGACCCGTCTTCTTCATTGAATCACTCGTCTCCTTCAACTCCCTGTCGTACCTCCCCTGCTGGCTCGCGAAGCCCTCCACGGTCGCCACCTCTCCATCACCCACTGCTTCTACCCCTCCCGTACTTTAAGACGAGGGCAGGACACCAACACATTCGGGTACGTGCGGATTCCTCGGGGATCTCTGCGAGCCGGCGGGCTCAAAGGACGAATCTGGTTGCCGCGCCCGTCCCATGACGCTCCAGAGCACTGTGAGATCCCTCTGGAACGCTCCGGATCGTTCATTCTTGAAGAGAGGTAAGCACAGACCACCACCGAACCTTTACAAGCACATCATGGCCCCAAGCTCTGGCGATGGTCGGCCGGCTACTGGTCAGGCTTGCGGGTCACCAGCACCAAAACGTGGTTCCTAAGACTGCAGCGCCTTATCTGCGAGACACCCCACAAACACTCTAGAGTCAGAGGGGGGCATTTGGGGGACCAGACAGACCCCTCCCACACTCGATGATCCTCAGAACGTGTGTTAGTTCCAACGCGAGCTCGTCCACCGACACACTTCAATACCGACACAGGCGGCGCAACGAGGGCCGACACGGACTGCGCACAATCGGCGGAGCTAGAAAAAGGTGAACACACACACACACACACTCACACACACACACACACATTGTGGGCTGACACCTAAAGACCTTCGATCCCCCCTCTCGAAACCTGCCGCTCCAGGTCGTCCCGCACGCTGGAGTGCTCCTGACGGCGGCAGCGCCAACGCGGCGCTCGCTGGCCGACCCGCTCGCCGACGCGTCAACCGCTGGCGCGCGCACCGGCAAGCTGGCGACGGCCGGTCGCTCCGCACTGCGGGGGCGGGGCCGCTCGGCCGCCCCACCCCCGTCGGGCCCTCCCTCCTCTTTCTCCTCTACCCCCTTCCTCCTCACTCCTCCTCCTCTTCCTCCTCCTCTTCTACACCCTTCCTCCTTCCTCCTCCTCCTCCTCCTCCTCCTCCTCCTCCTCCTCCTCCTCTATCTCTGTCCTCCTCATCCTCCTCCTGTACCTCCTCCTCCTCCTTTCCCTCCCCCTCCTGTTCATCCTCCTCTACATCCGTTTTTTATGCTGTTCCTCTCGCTCCTCGCTCCCGGGGACGGGCGTCATGCCCAGACCCGACCAACGTTAGACGCGAGCGACCATTGGCCGAGCGATCAACAGAGCGCAAAGCGCGTGGCGGAACTGTCGCGGTTAGGCTCGCCCGCTTCCAAGCGTCGCAATGAAGCAGTTTTCGCTTCCGTCGTGCACTTCGCAAGTAGGCAACATTCCGTTTGTCTTCCACGCGGCCCTGGCAGGGTTCCGAGTGACGCTCTTCACACACAGAGACAAACACACACACACACACAAACACACACACACATACGCGTTCGTTGGCGGACGGGTGCCAACGCAGCTATCACAAAGCACACACACACACACACTTGATGGCTTCGCGGCCACGCGCGCGGCGGCGCGAGGTAGGGGAAGACCGACCACATAAACACATACATACACAAACATATTTGTGCATATGTATATATACATACGTATACATACATATAAGTAAATAGTAAACATACATGGTATGTTCCACAAAACTTCGGCACAATACGCGGAAAGGGCGGAAAGCCGGCAGGCAGCACGATTGAAACCGCGGGGCGAAATTGCTACAATCCCCGCGGGCCGGAATTGCTACAATCCCCGCGGGGCGCAAAAACAGCAGAGGCCCCAGGCGAGCCAGAGGAGGAACCCAAGACTCACGGGGAGCCCACGCCAAAGGGGACCTCGGGCACACTTGTACACATCTCGCAAACGAAGCAGCGACAGCCTGCCAGCACGTTCTTTGAACACGGCAACCGTGGTCTCGAGACCCTCGAATTTCACGCTCTGGCCGGCTGAAGGTGCACCGGGGGGCGAACAACAGACGGCCAGCTCCCATATTCCGTGGACGTGGCTCGGCGAGAACAGGGAAGAGAGGGTACGAGCCTTCAAAGCTGAACTTTCTGAATAGACTAAAGATCTGGCGTTCTACTTATGCACCTAAACGGAAGTCGGCTTACCGCTCTGTGGCATCAGTCGGCGTTGCTTCATGTATTGAAGGGCGCTCTTCCTGGCTTTCCAGCGGCCGCGGCTCTGGATCTAATCCCCGAGCGCTGCATCAGTGAAAAGGCCCCCGCGGCGCGCCGCATGCGGCGTGAGCCGGAAGTCGCCAAGGCCGCAGCCATCGATGGCAGCCTTGCAGCGGCGCTCGTACTCCGCCAAATGTGAGGCCGAAGAAAGGCGTGGACCGGTGTGCAAAGTCAGAGCCATAATTTAAGCATGTTTGTGTGCGTGTGTGTTTGTTGTTGTATGTTCCGTCCGGTACTTGTTTGTGTTTATTTGTTGTTTTTGTGTTTGTGGTGGGTTGGTTTGTGTTTTCTGGCGTTTCTTTTACGCGGGAGGAATCTGCCGCGGTCGATCGCCCAGGGGGGTTTCGACTGCCACCCCGGCGCGGATCGCCCCCGCCAAAGTTCCTTCAAAAGGGGGAGCTTCGGCGGAGGCTTTTCCCGCGAGCGCCCCCGCTCGCTTGGGACAACGCGGGGGGTCCTGGATCGCCCGGGGGATTCCAGGACGGGCCGACTCGCCTGGGGGGAGTCGGTCCGAGCGGTGGAATCGCCTGGGTCTCCACCGCTCAGGTCCTGCACGATTCGCCCGGGGTGGTCTCGCGCGGGGACAGCCCTCGCGAATCGCCCAGGGGGGTTCCACGGGGTCGAGGTAGCCTGGGGGGCGCCGCAAAGGATAGTGCACGGCGCGAAGGATTCGCGCGAATCTTTCGCGGAACTCTCGCGAATTTTTCGCGGGGGGCCTGGGCTCTCGCGAATTTGTCGCGGGAGGCGCAAAAGTCTGGACAATCGCGCAGGGGGGAAGGGGGGCGAAGAAGAAAGGAGAGGAGGTCCGACTCCAAAGCCTCGAGGGCCACCTCCGGGGCCAAGCGAATGACGGACAATTGGAGCAGGGGGCGGCTCAGGATAGAGAAAAGGGGCGAAGGATAAGAGCAGGAGGGGGGTGCGAGCGGCGCACCGAGAGGCAGAAGCGGAGAGAAAGGGAGTTCCCCGGTTGATCACGCCAAGAAAAGGGCGAGGTTAATGACTAAATCAAGGCTGACTTTGCACACACTGCCTTGCTTCGCCGCCTTGAACTTGGCGAGGAGGCCGGCCGCTTGATCGCGGCCGGCTTGCTTGGAGGCAGCACCCCCGAAGACCGCAGCGTCGCCCTGCTCCCCAGCCTTGGTTGCGGGCCGCCGCGGGGCCCCTAAGTCGCCGCCCTCCGAGCATGATGCGAACATGGTGGTGGCGAGGGAGTATCCAGCGCCCCGGAGGCTCGAAGGGGCTATCTTGATGTCGATCGCGGTGACCTGACACACCTCGCCAAGGCGCAAATGCCCGTCGAACTGTGTGACCAAGGCCTGGGCTGCACTGAGGTCGGCCTCCTCGCCGGCGTTGCGCAGCCAGTCGCGGGTGAGAAATAGGGCCGGCCGCGGCATGGGGTCGCGCGAGACGTCTCCCGCGCGCTTCTGCCAGCCTCGCAGCGCGGCGCGGGCAAGCTGCAGCGCGGCGGGGCCCTTAGGTTGCTGCCTTGCACGCGCGAAGCCCCGCAGACGGCGACTCGAGCGTCGTAGATGCACCGGCCGTCGAAACACACATGATTAAGGTGCACCTCCAGGCTGCGGTCGACGGCAGCGCCCGCCAGGATGCGGAGCCCGTGCTCGCCGGCGAAGCCCTTGAACTTCTCGCAGGCGGTCCGGCACTGAGTCTGAGTCGCAGGTGGCACCGACTGCGCTCGCAGGTAGCCTGCCCAGCGCGGGCCGTCTGCAGCGGCCCGTCGTCGCAGCTCGGCGATGGCCGGCCGCGGCAGGCGCCTCCTCTTGGACGACGAGCCAGGGAGAGATCCACGGCTCCCAGCCTGCGCCCCACTGCTTGGCGGCGGCCGGCCACTCTGGCGGCGAGCCAGAAGGGCGCGAGAGGCTTGAGGCGCCGAGCGGCTGCTGGAGCACGCGCTTGCAGGTACCCGCCAACTCCGCCCCCCAGCGACGGGGCAGCGCGCCGCGGCCATTCGGCGCGGAGGCCCCGCGCGGAGCCACCGAGTCAGAAATCTGAACCCAGTGGCAACAAATAGACGGAGGATCATTCCCAGCCAGCGTGGTCTTCCATGCTGAGGCCCCTGGATCGGCGACGCGATAAGTCGACGGCGATGGCGAACTGGGCGGAACGACGACCTTCCCCTGAATATGTTCGTGGCGATGACCAACCTCGCAGCGGCGAGACAGCAGCAATTGGCCATCGACGCCGGCAACTATGCTAGTGGGCTTGACGTCAGTACAACGGTATGCGCAGCAGTCGCACCGAACAGCGCCGTGGCAACGTCGCGAAAGAAACTGTCGCAGAGGCGCGCACTTCCAGATCCACGAGGAGGCGTGGCTCTCGAGAGACCAACGTACATTGCGGCGACCACAAGGATGCAGAAACGCTAGCGTCTGGGCAACGCTTAGCTGACCGGTTCGAGCGCGGTTCCGGCCGAGATGAACGCATGAACGTGCCAACCAAACTTGATGGCAATCCATCTTTTCAAAGCGGCGAAGTCACAGCTATCCAAAAAGACCACGCATGGGCCGCGGTCGTCGTCAGCTGGAGCGGCGACGCGCAGTCCTGCGCTGAGGCTGGCAGCGGACAAGCGGCCACAGCCAGCGAGCACCTCTAGCATGGCCCGCTGCGAAGCTGGGCGAGGCTGAGGAGGAGCAGAACTGGGATCTGGACTCTAGATACCTTCATGTGATTGGGGGTCGGAATGGCGGGGCGGCCTTTGTCTCGCGGCGGCCGGCCGCGGGCAGCGCGCCCGACAAGCGCCAGCCTCGCATCGCGCTGCCGACGGGTCAGGCCGCCCCAAGGGTGGCGCCACGCGGCGCCGGCGCAGGCGGGGGTACCCAGGCTCAGTTCCTGCGGGGCCGCGCCCGAGCGGCGCGCCCGCGGCGGCTGGCGGCGCAGCGGCCCGCGCCGGGTCGCCCTCCACGATCGCGTCGAGGTCGCGGGCGTGCCCGCGCCGAACAGCGCCGGGCCGAAGCAGGCAGGCGTCGGCCAGGCGGCTGTCAGCGTCCGTTGGAGTGCAGCCTGACTCCGCATTGCGCTGCCGCCAGGAGATCTCGCGCGCGAGCTGGCACGAGGCTGCGACGCGGCTGTTCAGCCTCAAGGCCCACGGCGCTCTCGTCGCACGAGCGAAGGGGGGCCGTGCCAAGGTCGTCTGCGCGACGGCACGCCGCTGGGGTCCAGTCGGCAGAGGTCATGGGGACCTCGGCGTCACCATGATGCCCATGGCCGAAATCGGCTTCGCTGAACCTCCAGCGCTCCTCGCAGCGAGCGGCGCGGGCGACCCCGTCGGGCTCGACGGCCGCCAGGCGCAGAGCATAGCCTTGCATGGAGGAGTCCGACGCGAAGGGCGCCCTGCTCCACGGCGCGCCGAGGTCGACATCGCACAAGACGACGAGGACTGCGAGCTCGGTCGTCAGAGCGGCCGAGAAGCGGCCCGTCCTTGGCCCGAAGCGGCCCGTCCTTGGCCCGCCCTTGGCTGCAGACGCGGCCCGGCGCAGCCTGGGCGCAGCGGGCCAGCGTGAAGTGGTTCACCACGCGCCCTGCGACGCGCCTCATAGCGTGGCCTGCGGCTGCGCCCCATTGCTAGGTAGAGACGCCAGGCTCGCTGC